TCTCTGAGCTGCACAGCTGGAAATTAAATGTCCAGGTCCCACCATGGCTCCAATTTAACATTTGGTGCTTCTTGGATTGAGCTTAACGTGTTGAGGTTTTGCAATTTCACTTGTGGCAAAGGCTCTTGCATTTTCTATTTCTATGCAAATTTCTTGAGGCAGAATTGTTTGCACATTTCTCCTCTGCCCTCACAGAAGGCAGCATTTCTTTCAAACCTAACGGAGGCATCAGTTGCTCTTTGGCTGTGTCCCTTACCATGATTATTAACTTTATATGTGTGTGACTTGGGTTTGCAAATTTGTTTGTTGCATAGCTGTTTCCATGTAGTAATTCTTAGTTTGGCTGTTAAAAAAATTAACCCTGGACTAAGATTAGCATTTTTTTTAAATGGTCCTCTGCAATTTTAAGAAGTGTAATAAAATTGAAATCACTGGTTTTTCTATGCCTTTTTGAACTCTTGTAATTGAGTTTGATCACGTTTTATATTAAAGAGGCTAACACATGACTACTATTATTGTGCAAGCCTTTTTTTTTTTTTTAAGGACTGATCTGTTAACCTTTATTCTCTAAGTGCTGATGAGGTGTGGAGTAAAATATGTCCTTAATCTTCATTTTTTAATCTGCTGTTTGCTTCCATGAGATTCTGGAGTTGGCTGAACTTCATAGTCTGGAGAAGAGCTTTGCAAACCATACCTTTTTCTGGTGGGAAATATATAGCGTAGGCTTGAGTCACATTGCTCCTGCCACAGCAACTCCACCCAGGGCATCTCTTGGTCCATTTCCCTCTGTGTCCATCTGGTCCTGTTCCTCACGTGCCTGATTGGAAATGCCGGGGCTCAGAAACCTTGGGATCACTTGAGTTTTAAACTGTGATGTAAGTTCACATTAAGTCACAAAATAGAATGTTGGCAACTGTGGTTGTCACAAATGCCCTCCTCCCAAGTGCAGCTGAAGGACTGTGGTATCACTGTATGCCAGGGTCTCACCATTTCTGAAGGTGAGACCCTTTAACAATAATAAGAGCTCAATTATTGTTAAAGTGAGACCCTTTAACAATAAAAAGAGTTCTCCTGTTAAAATTACTGAAGATTTTTAGCCCCCTCTTCTGTGACTGGGGAATAGTGTCATGGTCCTCAGGAGTAGCTGGGTGTTGAGGCACAAGAGTCCCAAGCTTGCTTGTTGGTGCCTTGAGCAGTGTTGAGCCCCGAGGGGGGGGAGGGGAGTGCACTCATGCCAGATGCCTTTAAGGCAGTTGCTGTCTGGGGATGTTTAACCTCATTCTTTTTAGGGGACACTTGGTTGGTTGGAAGGTGAAAAGGATCCCCGTGAAGGGGCAGTGGTCCCTCTTGGTAACTTCAGGAGATCCTGGAAGCTGCTTTTTTGTGCTCAGGACTTGACCCAGAACTCATCAAGTGTGAGTGGGGAGGAGAGAGGAACCTAGGATGTGGACCATTTACAAGGAGCAGCTGCGGGTCTGGCAGTACCAAGGGGGCACTCTTGGATGAGGCTGCTGGGCCAGAAGCCCTGGGAAGTCCTTGGCTGAATCATGGTAATGGGTTTGTACTTGGGGGAATAAAGTCTTTGAGGGGGCTTCTCTGAGGAGAGGAAGGTAGGAAGGAGGCTTGCTGTTGGGGGCTCTCCAGTCTCAGCAAGAAGGTGGTGCTGAAGGACACAGGTACCGTGATGGTGCTTATTTCTGGGAACAAAACCCAGTAATTTCTAATCCAGCTATTTTCCTGCTCTGGGGATGGATTTGAGAATCACATTGGTTTTCTTCGGGCTGTTTTAGACCAGGCAGGACCTTTGCATTCCAAGTCTGGACTGTCCTGCTGAGGGACTTCACCGCTGACCTTAGCTGGATTCCAGGCTGCACCATCAGTAAGCTTAAGCCTACTGTCAGGTTCAGGGCTGTGGCTCCCTTTCTGAGAAGCTCCTGCCTGCCTCCCCCACGACCCCAGGTGGTTTGTGCAAGGTCCCTATGTGGAGGAAAAGGCCTCAGTTAGAAGCCAGGTCTTGGTCTGCAGAGGGACACTGGTTCCTCCAACCAGAGGACACTTCCAAATTCCAGCTGATGAAATTCCCCACTGCTGAGCAGAAGGTGCTCAGCAGAGGCTTGATCTTTCTAGGTACAAGCACGTCACTGTCCTCCAGAAGCCTGAAATCAGTGAAGTATCCAACAAGGTGGTCTTGGTGAGGAGACAGGTTTTGAAGGAACTGTCCCCAGGTATGACTTGGGTTATCCATGAGAAATTTACATGGATGAGTACCATTATGTGCAGAAGGTGATTATCTCTTTCAACTCTAGGGGAAAAAATTTTTCCTTGATGCTTTTGTAACATATTTTTAAAATATTGTGATTTTTGAATTGCCACTGAGGTGTAATTACAAGTTCTGTGATTAGCAAACATGAGTGTCTTGTCTACTGAGACTATGACCTTATTCTCGTGACTGCGGTTTATTGAATGTTCACCTTTTTAGGGATTGCTTTTAACATCAGGCATTTTGGGACCATTGTCATTGAAGACACACATTTAATAATTTTAACAATAATAAGAACTCTCCTTTTAAAATTACTGAAGATTTGTAGTAAAAAAAAAACATTTATTTCCACTATCCCAGTTTTTGTCTTTCTTTCCTTTTGGGTATTAGCTAATGTTACCCAGCAGCAGTCACGGGGAAGAGCAGGCTAGGGAGGGGAGAGCATCCTGAGTGATGAGCATCTTGGCTCTAATTTGTTGCAAATTAAGCAGTTGGAGCTTTTCCATGGTGAATGATATCTTGACTTTCTCAGCCTTGCTTTGGGAATTGGAGCCAAGGTTAATGGTGTGTGTGTGTGTGTGTGTGTGTGCACACACACATGTGGTGGGGGCTTTCTGGTATTAAGAAATATTAAGCCAAAATTCCCTGCAGTGGGTAGGGGGATCACCACTAGCTGTACCGGGGTGCTGGTGATGAAGGGTGGGTGTGTTTGGTGAAACTTAGGGTTTTTTTTTCCTGGGAAGTTATGAGTCAGGGAAACAGGTGGACTTGAAAGAGCCAGGAAGCCTTTCAGGGAATACGCAGGCCTGGCTCCAGCCTAGTGATCTGGGGCTCCCCTTGGCTAGCTGCTCAGTGGTGAGGACAGTTTTGCGGAGGGAGGTCCTTTGGTTCCTTAGCCTGCTTGCTGCTGACTGTCCCTTTCCTCTGATAGGTGGCCTGCAGTATTCTGATCCAGCATCTTTATGTATAGTGTGCTTTAAAATAGGCATGGTGGCACACACCTGTAATCCCAGTGACTTGGGAGGCTGAGGTAGGAGGATCATAAGTTCATGGCCAGCCTCAGCAATTTAGCAAGCCCGAGTCTCAAAAAAGGACTGGGGATGTAGTTGAGTAGTAAAGCGCTTATGGGTTCAATCCCCATTGCCAAGAAAAAAAGAAAGACCTGAGAGATGAAGTGGATTCTCAGCACCTTGCACTTTGATCCTGGAAGGCTGGACAGACTTGCCTTTGCCTAGGATGAAAAAAAAGATTTTGGGGCTCAATGGCAATTAAATTGGGTTGCACCAGGATAAAGCTTTGCCAAAAACCTTTACAACCCTCCCTGGGCCATAGATACAGCTTTTCCTGTCCAGCAGCATGGGTTGTAGCAACCTCCCCAAAGAGGTCTCGCTCTGGGGTCCTTCAGCCAAGTGGACACAATTTTCATGATTCTCCAAAAGTGCCAGGGCAGGGAAAACCCTCCTGGTGATGGATGCCTGGGTGGGACAGGTGCTCAGCCAAGACCAGAGGGTTTGGGCTATATTCCTCTTCCACCGCCTTGAGGTTCCCAAGTCAGGCAGAGCCTGGCTTCCGTGGGTTTCCAGTGGACCTCTCACGTGTCTGGCTGCAGGTAGTGAGATGAAGTTGCCCTTCTTACTGGTCCTTCTGGGATAAGAGTTGGTGATCCTGCGAGTCACTGAAACTTCCGCGCGTTTTAAAAGTAGCTTTAAGACTTGCTGCAGCGAGACTGAATGCACTCACTTAAAATTCGTCTTGCTCCAGCACGGCTTAGGCCTCCTTTCTTACCTTTAGCAATCGAGGGTTGGCAGTGGAGGCTCCTTCGCGTTTCGCCACAGGTGTTGCTTCTGAGTGGGAGTTTGGGGCGCAGACCACGCAGGGCCACACAACCCCCAGGGATCTGGATGTGAAGGAATTGGAGTCAGTCCAGGACGGTTGTTTTGGAAGAAGACATGTGGGGGGTGGGCACAAGCACCCTCACGGAATCAGCCCCACTGTCTCCAGAACGTCCCTTCCCCAAATGCAAACCACATTTTTCTTCTAGTCTTCATTCGAAATGGGTTGAGAGAGGAGATTAGAAGCATGTCAAGGCTGGAACCGGGTGCGGGGCGGGTCTTGGCGCGTGTCAGCCTAGTGGGGCGCTTCCTCCTCGCAGCCCCGGAGACCCCGCCTCCGCGCCCTTGGGGACCCGGGCCCGGCGCCTCCGTGGGCGGGGCGGCTGTGGCTGGCTCTGCTCTGGGCGCGCGGGGGCGGCGTTTCCCCGCCTGCTCCTGCGCTAGGGCCGCCAAGTCCCCGCAGCCCGCTTGGCCGTCGGGTCCCCGGGCGCGCTGGCGCCTCGACGGCTCCCCCTGTCGGAGCGCCCCTGTCTCCCACGCTCACCCGGCGGCACAGGACTAGTCCCCCCAACTTGTTCTGTGCTGTTAACTAGTACCGCTGCCGGAACGATGGGATGGGGTTGCCACAGCAACCAGACTGGACGTCACAATCCGGGCATGTGTGCCGCCCCCCCGCCTGCCGCCGTGCCGCCGGCGCTGCCGCCGCCACCCTCGGCCGGCTGCGGGACTGGGGCTGCCGGGCGCGGTGGGCGGAGCGGCCCGGGCTGTGCGGGTGCGGGCTAAGGCGGCCGGAGGAAGGGGGGTCGAGACGGGGGGGTGGAGGTTTAGGGGGTGGGGGGGCCGGCGTCCGCCATCTTCTCGCCGAGGCCGCCTCGCCCGCCGCGCGCCCGTCTGGCAGCGCACGGGTTAAGGCTGGCACCGCGCCCGGCGGGAGGGGGGCGCCCACCTCCCCTCCCCCCCGCGCCGGGCATGCGGGGCCCGCTGGGCACCGAGGAGGAGCTGCCGCGGCTGTTCGCCGAGGAGATGGAGAACGAGGACGAGATGTCAGGTGAGGGGGCGCGGGGGCGCCCCGGGGCCAGGGCAGTGGGGGCGCCGGGACTCGCGGGACCCGGGCCGGAGCGGGCGGCGCGGCGGGGCTGGCGCGGCGCGGGAGGAGCGCCCGGGCTGCGGGCTGTGCTCCCGCCCTGCTGGCGCCGCGCGACCAAGGGCGCAGGGCAGGGCGAGCGCCGGAGCGCAGCGCGCGGGCGACCCAGGGCGGGGTGCGACCCGGACCCCGGCTGCGGCGCGGGCCGGAGGACGGCGGGCAGGGGCCTGCGCGGGCGCCCGGGCGGGGAGGGGGCGCGGCGCCGCCAGGGTCAGTCCGCGTGCCCTTGAAGGGGGCGGGAATCGCGCGCTGCTGGCGCGGCGCACCCGCCTCTTGCCTGGCCGCCGCGCGCCCCTGGCCTCGCCGTGGGCAGGCGGGACCCGGCCCCGCGCGTCTCGGCCCTAGGGCGGCCTGGGTGGGGCCGGCAGCGGGGCGAGGAAAGGCTGTGTTTGGGGATCTGAAGGCGCCCGGCATGGGAGGCTTCCTTCGGGCCCGCGAGGGCTGCGAGCTGGGGCGCGCGGGATGGGACTCCCGCTCCCTTTTCCCGGCCGCTGGGCGCCGCGACCGCCGCTCCCTGCACTTTGCCAGGGCCTCCGGCGTCCTCCTGGCGCACCCTAGCGCCCGCGCCGTCTCCGTTCCTGTCGCCCAGCGCAGCGGCGTTCCAGCCCATCCTGCTTCTGTGGCTTGGGGCCTGGCGCCCCAGGGCCGCCGCCCCTGCCCTTGCCGGCTTTCTCCTTTTCTCTCTCAGAATTCAGGATTTCAGCGTGAATGGATTTGGTGCGGAGGGGTTGCCTTACAGGATAACCATTCAGTTAGCTGCCCGCCATTTGTTCCGACGTTTTCCCACCTGGCCCGCCTGGGCAGGGCCTGGCCAGCCGCCCTCCTCCGCTGCTCAGCGCCCCTCCTGGACTCCTCTGCTGTGAGGCCCGAGGATCTTCCCGTCCCAGAATGTGCATCTGGCCCCCAGGGATGTTTTATGTCTTCTCAGGGCATGAGAACGTGCCACAGTGGCACCTCTTCACTTCTGTTGGGGTGCAGCAGCCCCGAGGCTCCTTGGCACCTTCTCACTGCTGTGGGGAGTCCCCCAGGTGGCCACGCCCCCGCCCCTCTCCCCATTTCTGTTTGCCTAATGGCTTTGACTCTGGGGCCTCTGCAGGAGGCTGTTCCTCACCTTGCAGTAAGGCCAAGTTAGCAAAGAGGCTGCTGGGGTGTCCCCACATGGGGTAGGGTTGTCTGGACAGTAGCTGTGACCTTCCCAGACTGGTGGGATCAGACCCATTCCTGGGAGGGGAATACAGAGGCCCAGCACATGGGAAATACCTGTGTTGGCTTTCTAGCTTGGAGGCTGGCTTCTCAGTAAGCTAGCTCACTGTTTTCCTCAGTGAGACGCCCTGTGGTGTTTGGGGTGTGGCCCTTTGTGGCACTGATGGGGTGGTGGACAGCTGAGCAGGCATGGACAGCCCCATTTCTGGGACTGCAGACCTCTCGATGGAGTCCCCTGTCCTTTCCTGCCGTACTCTGGCTCTCTCTGGTTGTATTGGGGTACTGAGTTTGGGGAAGGAAGGAGATGGGGGGAGGGGCATAATGCCAGGCTGGTGACACCCAACTCATTCTTAGGGCCGGGGAATTGGGTCTTGGTCATCATCTCCCTTCTGCCCCTCATTCTCCCTTTTTCTCCAGGGCAGTGGGGATGTTGTCCCCAGGGCCTCCAGGAGTGGTCCCCAAAGCCTGGCAGAGAAGATGTCCTGCTCCTGCCCTTCTTGCCTGGGGATTGCAGCCCCGTCCACCTACCAGATGAGGTGCTCTGCCTCCCAGGCTCAGGCTCCTTTCCACGTCCCTGATTCCTTCCAGAACCTCCCAGCCTGTTCTCACTGATCACCCCCCCTTGGAGCTGGGGTCCCCTCTGAACACAAATCAGAGCTTGGAACCTGGGTCCATCCTTTTCTACTCCATGCCCCTTTATCCTCGCTCTGTCTTGTCCTTGGGCCTTGACTGTGACCTCTGCTTGAATTCCTCTTTCCTCTGCTCAGAGGTTTCTCTTGGCCATTTGGGTCCCAGCTCCAGTGCTACTATGGAAGACCCTCTTTGATCCTCTGGCTCAAGTGTGGTCCCATTACAGACTTATTTTAATGGTTTATTGTCTGGGCAGCACTTCTTGCTCCCTGGATGTGTTATTGTCCATCTGCTGGGCCGGTGGGTTCCCCTTCAAGTGGACTTCCCTTGACCACCTGCTGGGCTTAGCCCCCCCCCCCCAGAACTAAGGGTGCCAAGAGATCATTATGGTCTCAGTGTCTGAGGGTGGAGGGAACCTAGATCACTCCTGGGCCCCTGGATGTGATGGTGGCCTCAGCTCCAGCCTTATGTCCCTCCTTCAGTGCTGACTGGCCTGCCCACTAGCAGCCTGGGGCCCAGGTCAATGTCAGCTGGTTCTGAAACATTGCAGTTTGAGGCTGGAGGAGTTAGTATTTTGGGGGCTGTCAAACTGTTCTTTCTTTTTTCTAATCCAAGCAGTTGCACTCTTTGTCATTTTTTTTTTTGGCTCGGCTCCCCCTCCTGTCTCACCCTCAGAGTGGCCCTTGCTTCCTCAACGGTATTCTTGCTTCCTACCAACCCTTGCTAACTCTCTGGCTTTGTGTCAGGTGGGTGAGTCTGCTTCCAGGAGGAAGGTGGGGTGGGTGCCCACCTCTTCTGGCTCAGGGACTAGCAGCTGCCAAATTCTCCTGGGAGCTGGGAGGACGGGTCAGTGAGGGCTTGGGAGTTGGATGGAGGAGGCCTCCGATCTCAGCTCTGCTTTTGTTAGCTGAGTGGCCTTGGGCAAGCTCACCAGCCTTCTGCCTCAGTGTCCCCGCTTCTAGAATGGGACATAGCACTCACTACCTCATAGAGGGTTATTATGAGGCCTAATGAGATGGTGCATGTGGATCATTTAGGTCATAGTGCCCTGCATATAATGGGTACCCAGGAATCCATGGCTGGTATAATTAGCACCATCCAAGCGGGGAAGCTATCCTGCCTCCCCAAGGAAATGCTTTTGAGACTTGCACTTTCATCCAGTAAGCTGGGCAGGAGGAGGGCTGGGCGTGAGGCCCAAGGTGGGGCTGGAGGGATGGAGGACAGGGACATAGCACCTCAAAGCTTTTCCTTAGATATAGCACTAATTCCTCTTGGGACCACTGGTGGGCTGGCAAGTTCCCTGCCTGGTTGGCCTGGCCCTTTCTTAACCATAGCCAGGCTGGTGAGCTGGCCAGGCAGCGTGATCACTCCCGCCCCAAGGACACGCGACTGACCTGTGCTCTCCATGCCTACAGGACTGGCTCCGTCTGTATGCGCATCTCTGGCTTTCTGAGTGGCTGTCATGACTTCTAAAGGCCCAGGCTTTCTTAGCTTGCTGGCATTCTTGAGGAATGTGTGTAGGGGTGGGGTTCCAGGCATCCTGATTATATTGTTATATTTAATATTCTTTCTGGGAGAAGAGAGGCAAAGGGAGCACAGTTTTCCCAGTGACTTGGCAGTGACTTCCAAGTTGATGAGGGACTAAGATTCATGTGTCATTCCACCAGTTATCCACCCAGGCATCTACCTATTCACCCGTAAACCCAACCGACTAGCCATTTACTCACCATCCTTCCATTTATCTACCATTCATATCTTTATTATCCATCCAGCACTCATCCACCTACCATTCAGTCATCTACCTTCCATCCATTCATATATCCATACGTACACCCACCAGTCATCCTTTCACCTATCTACTCACCGTTCATCTGTCCGTATATCACTATGCATTCATCCATCTAGCCATCTATACATTTACCATCCATCAGTCCATCCAGAATCCATCCATCAATCATCCACTTATCTATACATACACATCCATCTACCCATCCAGAAACTGTCTGCTACTTACCTAGCCATTCATCTATCCATAGTCACCACCCACCCATTCTCCATCCATCCATCCATCCATCCATCCATCATCTATCTGTCCATATGCCTACCTGCCTGCCTGCCTGCCATTCCTCCATCCCTCCCCATTCATCTATCCATCTATCCGCCATCCACCTATTTACCTATTCACACAACACACGTTTTTGGAGTATCTTCCCTGAGCAGTATTGAACACAGAGCATGATGTCTTTCTGGGCTCTTGCAGTGAAACCCTGAGATTTTCTGTCTCATCTCTGTATCTTTGTCTATATCTCCCCCTCCCTGGCTCTCTCCCTCTGTCCCCCTTCTGTCTCTATGTCCGTCAGTTTTGCCTCTGCTTCTCTGTCTTGTCTCCCTGTCTCTCCCTCTGCCTCCGGGGTTGTCTCCCCATGCCCTCCTCTCCTCTCTGTTTTTCCTGTGCCCCCAATCATTCCTTGGGCCTGGAGGCCCCTTCCTGCCTGCCTTGTGCCCCTCACTCTCCCCAGACCCCAGTCACTCCTTGGTAGAAGCCTTGCCACCTCCCCTCTAGTCCCCTCCCCCTCAGGACTGGCGCTTTCTTTTGATGAGACACCAATGAGGTGATGTCTGGGTTTTGTTAAATGTCATAAATAAATTATTAATCACTCTTGGGCGGGAGTACTGCCCCCCACATCAGCCTAGGTTCTGTGTCATGTGGGGAGGTCCGAGGACTAATGGGAATTTTTGTCTGGGCTCCTCCTTGGCCAGAACTCCTGGTTCCTTAGCACCCAAAACGGACCTGACAGCCCTCACCCTGGGGCCACCCTCCCGGGCTCTGCCTGCATTGCTTAGCTCCGCCTGGGTGTCCCATCCCCACTTTTCACTCACAGTTTCTAATTCCTTGGTCACCTGGAGGAAGGGTGCTGGGACAGGCCAACTTATAGAAGAAGCTAGAGTCAGCCAGGCAGGGACTTGGGCCACCCCAAGGAGGGGTGCTGGTTTGAAGCCATTGCACTGTCCTGTCCCTGCCTGACCTCCTCCTGACCACCAGGTGGCCTTGTTCCCTGCTTGGACCTGGGTTACAGGCTGGGGAACAGAAGGAGCTCCTGTCTCCAGACCCTGCTGAGCTGGGTCCCTATCATTGACACATTTGGGGCCCCGACCTTGGCAGTGAAGGTCTTGTCTAGCTCCTGCCTCTGTTCTTCCCACCCTTCGACCACCCAGAATCTGGGGCCTCACCGCCCTCTGCAGTCACGTGGTTTTCTTTAGGCTGAGCAGCTTGCGCTTCCAAAGCTCCCTGCAGCCCCCTTCTGGCTCTGCCGCTGCTCCTCCCAGAAGGGGCGGGGCTTGCCGTGGGTGTGAGCCTGGACCAGCCCCGACCTCCCCCAGGGGCCCCTGGGACCTTCCAGACCCGCCTGCCTTGGCTTCAGTCACCTCATGGTCCCCAGGGCGTAGACCCCACTTGGCACACCAAACATGCTGTTGAAATGCTGAATTCCGGGAGGATCCCATGCCTGTCGGTTCCCTGCTGGCCATGGAACTGAGATGTGGGCAACTGATGGGGCCCTCTGAGCTTGAGTTTCCACATCTGCAGTGAGATTGGTAGTTCTTATCTCCGGGGTTGCTGTGTGGTGTCCCAGTGGATATGACACTGTCGGGTGCTCTGAGCCTAGGGCAGGTGGTGTGTAGGCATTAGGTGATGTGTAGGCCTGGGATGGGCCACCCAGCTGTGTCAGCTTGGGGTCCCTCTGGGCTGAGCCAGAGTGTGCACTGGGAGCTAATAAGGGGCTGGACTGAGCTCAGGAAAAAGCTATAGAAGGTCCTTCTCTTCACCCTGCCAGGCTCTGTCCCTCCCTGTCTGTCCATCCGCTCCTTGCCTCTGAAGCAGCCTCCCCCGCCCCTCCCCAGGCCTGCTCTGCCTGGGCGGCTCTGGAGGTGAGCGATAACCAGGCTAATGGTCCTAATTATAGCTGGCTTGGATCGATGGCACCTCAGGCCCTGGAGGGGCAGGGCTGGTGTGGGAGGGCCCAGCCAGGGGGGCCAGAGGTGTGGGCCGCTATGAAGGCCAAGAGCTGGCAGGACAAGGAGTCCTGGAGCCCCTCACCCCAGGGCTGCGGGAGCCCACCACCACTGGCTGCATGTCCTGCGTCTCAGCACCCTCCGAATCTCTGCTCTGTCCTTGACAGCTGGGGCCGCAGGGAGAAGGGGCAGGGGTCCCCGGGCTCAGGGCTCAGGGCATGGCTGATGGTGGGGTTGCTTGAAGAGTGATTCCTAGGCTGAGAGCCCAAGAAGACTCACGGCCTGTTGCAGAAGAGGGAGAGGGGCCGTGTGAGAGGAGGGGCTGGGCTCTCATATTAAAGACAGGACGCATGGACTTGAGGTGTCCCCAGGAGACCAGAAGCCTGTGGGAACAGGAAGGGCCTGTCAGAGAAGGGGGTGGGCAGGGCTGGGTCCCCATCTCCCATACCAACTCCGAACCTTCCTGGAGGAGGATTTTATTAGGCAGATGGCCCTGGGCTGGGAGGTCTTCTGGGAGGGGAGGAGGGGTCTGTGATGGACAGGATCTAGGACCGATTCTCCAAGGGTTCTGGGTGTGGTCAGGGTGACCTGTGAGGCGCCTCTTGCCTTCTTCCCACTACAATGCAGACCACGAACTTCCTTCCAGAACTTCCCCAGCCACCTGTTCATCCTCAGTCCAGTCTGGTCAGTCAGGGACCATGTACTGATCTGACCTTCCTAAATCTGGGGACTGCTCTTCTGGGAAGGGACAGGGGACAGCCCAGAGCAGGGAGAGCCCCCACTCCCGAGATTGCATCAGCCTCGAGTGGATTACATAACCATGTTGAGCACTGCTAGGGGGTGGGGTGCCTCTGCCTAGGCTGTCTCTATGGGGCCAGGGGAGTGGGCAGATTAGGGATGGGCATCATGTTGGCCACCTTAGTCTAGCTCCATGCCAACCCCGGATACTGCTGGCCAATCTTCTCCACTCCAGGATGACTCTGGGGGTCCCCATGCATGTTTTCAGCTGGTTTGAAAAATCTCTGCCCTGCCAAGTTGGGACTTAGAGGGACAGATGGGGTCAGCTCTAGCAGCCCCTGGCCTCATCCTGGCTGTACCCAGGGCCTGCCCCCCACTGTCCATGCCTCTGTGAGTTGGAGCTCATCTAAGGCCACCGCATCTGTGCCTCCACCTGGGTATGTCCTCAGCAGTGCTCCTGAGTGGGTCAGGACACGCTGTGCTGGTCCTTCAGGACATATTCAGGCCACCCTGCTAAAACCAGCTCCCTGTGGCACCTTCCGGAGCCTCCCCCTCCATGTCCGTGTGCTCTGCTGGTCCTCGGGGTTCCCACCACCTCAGCATGGGGAAGGGTTGGACTCAGGCGTGCCCTGCCTCTGCCCAGGGACTCCTGGGGGCTGGCAGAGCAGAACTTGCTCCCCGGTTGGGACCCTGGTGCAGAGGGTGCCAGGCAGTGGTATAGCCCCCACCTGGTGCAGTCTGGCCCTGCAGGGTGAATGGTAGGAAGGGTGTCTGCCCAGCCACCAGAGTCACCAGGGCCCTCTGAGGGCTGGGTGTGTGTGGAGGAAGCCTCCTTGTTCTCCCTTGGGACAGGGAGTGGGCAGGGGTCCCAGGCTGGGGGTGGGGCCTGTGTGGAGCCTGGGAGGGGAAGTTTTTTGGTTGAGTCCTGTGTGTGCACACGTGTGTCCATGCACATGTATGTGGCTGTTCTGTCTGCTGCATGGGGCCTGCACACAGCTGGCTGGCAGGTTGAACATACAGGATGGTAACAAGGACTTCTGAGGTCACCCTTTCCTGGTTCTGAGGTTCCCCTGGGCAACCTCACCCTCCCAGGTGGGGTCCTGCAAGGTGGCCACTGGACTCTGAGCTGTTCACCCTGCTATGTCTCCCACCTTGTGGGCCCAGCTGGCCACTCGTGGCACATGGGGGTGGGGCAGGACGAGTGGGCAAGGGGTGCATGGGCCACCGGCTGCCAAGGGGAACTGACCCGAGTGGGTCCTTCCCTGGTCTCCTGGAGGTTTTCTTTCCGCATGGCCCTTTGCCCCATGTGTGGCCATAGTTCTACTCTGGGTGACTTATTTCTTGGTGCTGTGTACCCTGGGGGACCCTCCTCCCTTCCCCTTCATGGCCCATGCCTGGAGTCTTGGAACTTGGTCTCAAGTGTGGTTTCTTGGGTGGGAGTCCGGCCTCAGCCCACTGTGTCCCCATGGCAAGGTCACACATCATGCCCCCAGTACATGTGGGAACCCCTCCTCTAGGTTGGAAGTGGGGGAGGGGCAGTCCCACCCTGTGCCCTTCAAGAGATGGGTGTGGAGCTCGGAGCCAGCATCTTACTTTTTTTGACCTAGGGCCCTGGGCTTGTGCACACACACACTACCACTGACCACACCCTCGGCCCTTTTTATTTTTTATTTGAAGACAGGGTCTCACTAAGTTCCCCAGGGTGGCCTTGAAACTGTGATCCTCCTGCCTCAGCCTCTCTAAGCTGAGGATTACAGGTGTGGCCACCACACCCAGCTGTAGCCAGTTTCTTCTTCAAAGATTCTCCACCCAAGTCCACTCTGCTGTCCTCGAAGCCTGTAAGGTGCTGAAACAAGCGAGGGGTTCAGGATTCTGGTGGCTTCCGGGAAGTCCAGGCGTGGTGAATGTGACAGTTCTCTGCGGGGTGCCACATCTTCCTGGGTGCCCAGCTGGCGTGTTCTTGGCATACTGTCCAGCGTGTGTGTGTGTGTGTGTGTGTGTGTGTGTAGGGTGAGGTGTGTGCACCTGTGCATGTGGCTGCAGGGTCAGGGCAAGGGGTACAGTGTCCTGTTTTCACAGGATGGGCCTCACCCAGGTTGGCGCCTGTGTCCGGCCCTGACCCTCCCCGGGTGGTTCCTTGGGGCTGCTTCCTCCCTGCACGCCATGCACAGTGCCAGCTGGTTAATCGCTCACTTTTGTTCCTGGAGATCAGCTTCCATGTCCCTGTCTTACCAGGGGTTGGTGGTTATTGTCCCATTTTAGAGGGGGAAGGAAAGGCCCAGGGAGGGGACCTGACATTGTCCACCACGGCTGGCATTCCTGCCTTGCCCTGGTTGGGTCTGGGGAGGGTCCGGAGTGGTCACCTGGCGTGGCGGGTGGGTCCCTGGTACTCTGGCTAGGGGAGCAGAGGGTAATCCCTCCCCACTTTGCCTCTTCCAGAAGAAGAAGATGGTGGCCTTGAAGGCTTCCACGGCTTCTTCCCTGCGGAGCCCATGAGCCTTCCCAAGAAAAAGAAATCCAAGAAGCTCAAGGAGAGCAAGTCCAAAGGGAAGCGGAAGAAGAAAGAGGTGAGATGCGAGGGCGGGAGGGGCGCTGAGAGATCTGGGCCTCACGAGGAGTCCCAGCTTCCCCGAGAAACACCCAAACCAGTTTGTGCTGGAAGCCTGGTGTGTGCCAGCCTTTCTGGGGGGTTCATGACATCCTATTTCCTGAGAGAACGTTGGGGGGGTGTCTTTCCTTTCTCCTGTCCTGGCTGCCCTGTGTGGGGACAGTGGAATGCCCACATTCAGCATCCCTCCCTCACAGCCGGTGGTCACTGCTCCTGGCTCTTGGCGCTCTCTCCTGGCTCTCTGTAGCAGCCTCTGTCCCTCTAAGCAGACGTACTGGAAATGTAGAGGCGAGGCCCGGAGTCCTGGAGAGCCCCTGGTGAGCCGAGCCTGCCCCTAGAGCCGGGCTCCTATCTCTTTCATCCTGATTCCCAGCAGTTCAGGAAAGGAGAGGGAGGTGCGGATGGATGGAGCCCACGCTCTCAGAATACTTGCACGTGCTTCACGGACTCGCTTGGACCCCAGGATCCACCCTGGGAATCGGTGGGATGGGGCTCTCTTAACCAAACCTCTGCAGAGAAACAAAGAAATTGGTGGGATGGGGATGGGGATTCGTCCTTGTCAGATGGGAAACTGAGGCAGAGAGGCAGCTGAAGGTTCCCCGACTTGGACTGGGACCCTGGGTGCCCTGTTACCTTACTGCATGCCAACTGGGAGGCTTTGGGCCTCGTCTCCAGTCCTCCAGGCAGCCCCGGGGAGAGGGTGGTAGCATGCATCTAGCTTCACAGGCAAGGCAGAAGTGGCTCAGGGACGGCCATGCCCACGGTCACATGTGGTCATGCCGAGGTCTGAACCTGGGACTCTCAGCAGGGTCCAGCTTTCCCCCTACCAGGCATGGCCCTCTCCTAGCCTGCCTGTTCTGAGGGAGACGTGTGGCCAGTGCTCTGCCCCTTTTTGGTCTAGAGTTGTAGACGAAAGGCCCAGGAAGGTGGCTAGTGAGGAGCCCTGGGCAGAGCCTGGTAGGGAGAAGGGCTGCAGAAGACCCAGCCGAGGGCCCACGTGCCTGCTGAGTGCTTGGGAGTCCACCTAAGGCAGTGGCTCCCTGGGGCCACTGTGGCCTCTTGCCTACCTCTCAAGTGAGGCGGGGTCAGCAGTGGGCTTTGAGCGGCTGGGCACAGGATGTAACTCAGCTCTGGCTCCTAGGGAGGCCCCAGGGTGAGGGCCAGAGGCAGAGGCAAGGAGGCCCAGCAGAGGGAGAGAGGACAGTGGTGGGCGTGAGAGCTGCTGCCTGTGCCGCTTGATTCTGTGTCCCCTTTCCACCTCCCATTTGTTTTGGTGACACATTAAGTGCCTTCCCATGTGAGGTGGCCATGGAGCGGCCCCGACCTCTGCTTGTGGCCTGTTTCCCTGGTCTGTGATCCTGCGCTGTGGTCTTCATCCAGGGCCCCTCTGGGGAGAGGCTGAGGCAGCTTGGTTTTCTTTGCTTGGTGCTCTTCGCTGAGGTTGGTGGTCAGCCTTTCTCAGTGGCAGGCCCCGACCCTTCTGGGAGAGCTTCTTGAAGGGTGCACCTGGCCACGCCCACAGCCCCTTTTCCGAGCTCCCGTGCTGTGCCCCCCAGGCCCTTCCTTGCCTCTATTGCTCCACTGTGTGTGTGCACGCGAGGGATCCTGGGTCCTCCTGCTTGACTTTGCCCACACCTGCTGCCCTCAGCTCTGTCTTCATTCTGGTGTGATGTCCAGGACTGATGTGTCTGCCCCCTCTCAGGACACTCTACTCTTTACCCCTGGGCCAACCTGCAGGGTAGGGCCCAGGTCAGAGTTGTCCTTGGGGGTAGGTGGGTGGCCGAGGTTCCTGAGATGTGTAGGCCTGTAGGCTCTGAGTCTTCTGAGGGGTCGCGAAGGGGGTGAGCTTCCTGTTCCCAGTATCTAAATGGAGAGGGAGGGGGGACCCCGTGCCTGGGGGCTCCCCCACTGAAGGAGAAGCTGAGACCAGCCCTTTTGATGGGCAAGGTCCCTAAATTCCTTGCTGTAGTTCCCTCTGCACTGCGGGGTCCCCACCGCAGCCCTGCAGGTCTGTCCTTGTGCTGGGCAGTGGATGGGCTGGACTGCAAGGCCCTCGGGTGACTTACTGGTTGAGGCTGTGAAACCTGTTCTGCTGCCCCACTGCCTTCCCCTCTGAGCCCCAGGCTCCGTGGGTCTCCATCCTGGGCCTCACGGCCGAGGGCAGGGATTTCCTCCATGTGGCCCCTGCCCCGTGCCTGTTTCCTCTCTAACAGATTTCTGGGGATGGGGTAGGAGGCTAGGACCAGAGGCACTACCACCTGGCCCTGGGTCTCAGCCTCGGGCTAGCTCTGCCCAGGCCCCCATTTGGGTCCCAGCAGGGGAGCAGCAGGTGCCTGTGAGAGCCACCGCCCCAGGCAGGGTGGATTTTTGCCCCCTCCCTCCTGGACATGTTGGCCCTGGCCAGGAGGGAGGCAGTGTCTGGACAGGGGCCAGGAGTGGGAGGGTGCTGGCGGCCCTGCAAGGGCTGGTTGCTGCCTCGCTTCTCAGGGCCCTGGTCTCAGCTTCTCCTTTCTCTGAGGCCTGGTTTGGTTTTGTGTCCAGCCCAGCTTTCTGGCTCTCGTCTGCTGTCTCTCGCTGGGTCCCACGGAGTCTCCCTCTGGTTCATGCTTGGTCTCTGCCTTATGCATCTGTCCCCCTGGCCTCTTGCTCTCTCTCATCTCGCCATTTCCCCCCGCTCCTGCCTCGTTTCCCTCCCTGCTCTCCCTCATTCCCCCCACTCCTCTCTACTGAGATGCTGTGGTGCTACCTGGAAAGGATGGAGGGCTGGGGTGGACTGGAGGACCCCAGGGGACAGGTTCCTCGAGGTGACCTTTGGTTCAGGGCTGCCCCCTTCCCTGCATTCCTGAGAGCCTGGCTCTGACCTGCTGTGGATCCTAGGGGGTCTGGAGCATGCTGTGTCCAGAGAGGAGGGTCCCAGCTGCCTGCCTGCCCCGCAGGCAGGGGGATTGTATCCCTTTGCCCCTCTCTGTCTCCACCCAGGTGACCCCAGGAGGAGGTGCCAGGGCTGGCAGGGCCCCAAGCAGCAGTTTGGGTGGGGGCAGGCAGCAAGTCATGGATTCTGATTTACATAAAATAACCAGGCTGCAGCCAGAACCTGAGCATATGTAGATGAAGCTCCTTGTCAGACCGGAGCGCAGGAGGGAGAAATGATTTCAACCTGTACTGCAGCGGTTACCATAGCAACCAATTATTCAGTGCTAAATTATAACTGTTTATAACAGTCGTGAATGGGAAGGCTCATATTTCATTCTTTCTTTTTCCCTCTCAATCTTGAAGGACCCCAAATTGAGAATGACCAACTCTCTCAGTCCTTCCTTTGAGTTTAAATGCGTCCTTTCTCGGGAGATGCGGTGTGCGTGCGCTGGGTGTACAGGGAGGGGCGGGGGAGATGAGAGGTTTCCATCCAGAAACAGCTGCGGAGCTGGGAAGGAGGGGGGCAGTGGGGACTGCCCACTTGGGGGTCCCCAGAACCGAGGTTGGTGCGCTATGCCCTCCGTGGGAAATGGGGTGTAGAGCAGGGGACCCGCCACAGGCACAGCTGGGGCGCAGTGTCCAAGGTGCTCTGCAGGTGGCTTCCGAGTCCTCTAAGATTGTTCTTCCAGCCAGCGGAGCGTCTCCCACAGTCACGTCTGGGGCTGCTGCAGCGAAAGGACAGTGCCAAGGTCAAAGTCCCGACCGTCATCCTGATTTTCACATCCCACTGTGTGTCTCGGTTGCTCACAGAGCTCAGGGTGGAGCTCTGCTAGGGAATTACTGGTCTCCTCCCCTGAGCAGGCTATGGTCCACGGCCCCCTTGTAGGGTCCAGGTATTCTCTGGTGTCCCCCCTCTGCTGCTTGGTCTTCCTTCTGCCACTGAGGTCCTCCCAGTTCCTGGGTTTCTTCTCTGCAAGTTGTTTCAGAACCAATTCAGCATCCCCCACTCCCTTTCTCTGCAAGTCAAGATTTTTGGGGGGGCAGGGGGAGCAAAAGGAGGCCCAGTTGTGGAAGTGTCAGAACAGCTGGTGCTGAGTTCTGCTGGGATAGACTTGTTCTGTAACCCGTCCTGGCTGGGGATCGGAGCTCGGGTGAGTGCTGCGTGTAGGTGGGTGTGGTCCAAGCTGTGTGGGCTCCCTTTGGGGGAGGCCCAGGGAAGGGAGGTGGCCAGGGGCCCCTGGGCCTCAGAGCCTTCTCTTTGGCGGCTTCTTCCTCCTCTGTGAAATGAGAGGCTGACATCTTGCCTGAGCCTCAGGTGGTTGGCTGCAGGGAAGGGGTCTCCTGCTCGGCTCTGGGGTGGACTCTGGCCCAGCCTGTCAGGGTCGGGCTTTGGCCTTCTGCCAGGCCTGCTCCCCCTGAGCTGTGCACACGCCGCCACCGCCAGACAGCACAGTCTGCAGGCGGCGGCGCTTCCCGGCTCCCCGCTGCCCTCCCTCCATCTTTCCGCTCCCCCTTGGCCCTGCATGCGAAGCTGTGCTGGCCACTCCTTGCCTCTCTCATCCTGATGCTTCCCAGCAGATGCCTGGGCCAGCTTCTCTGGAGCTGTTGCTACACAGCCCCGTCTTGTCTGAGTCACGTTGTCCATCCACACTGCTGCCCAGCTGCAGGCTCGCCCTGTGCAGTGGCTCCAGCCCAGTCTGATGGACAGATAAGGGAGATGAGGCTGGTTCGCTTCCTCATCCTGCCTTGGGGTCTTGGGTCATCTGGACATTACCAGGGGAGGACGTGGTCCTGGCGTGAGTGTCGCTCTGCCTGCGGGACCTGGCCCTTCTCTGCCGCTGTCTTCTGAGCATGGCTTCCCTGGCTGGCTGGCCTCTGTGTCAAACACCCAAGGGCTTACTTCCGGCCCCCCTTGGTTCCGCCTACCATCCTTTGTGGCACCGCCTTTGCACAGATGAGGAGGCTGAGGTTCAGCTCTGCTGCAGACTAGCAAGGGGCAAAGCCTCCCAGGGAGCCCCAGGACCCACGGGCAGGACCCCGGGTCCTCTGGCTTCATCCCTGGCCAGTTTGTGGGGTCCGCCCTGAGGCAGCTGAGGGCTGCCTGGATTCCCTCCCTTGGGCTGCATCAGCTGCTGTCCATGGTGCTGAAGCTCCCCGAGGCTCTCACCCTCCTCCTTACCTTTGCTGGGGTGGAGCCTGTATTTCTTGACTGGAAGACACCCGTGGGGAAAATGGATGTTCTTGTCTGACGCCCAGCTCTTCAGAGGACTGTGGAAGAGCCTAAGAGCCAGGCTCAGGCAGCAGCCAGGGCTGGGAGCTGCCCCTGCTCCGGGTGTGGTCAAGTCAGTGTTCCGAGAAACACCGCAGTTCCAGTACAGCAAGGAGGCCCTGTTTCTGCTACCTGCTGGCGTTGTTGGCTTGGGGATTAGTGGATGTAAGAGGTTTGAGAGCCAGAGCCTGGTGGAGAGCTGGGAAGTATAGGCAGCGCATGGCGGGCTCCTTCCTGGCCTGATCTCAGGGAGAGCCCCTCAGTGGTCTTCCATTCTCACCTAGCCAATGGGATGTGCCTGTTCAGAGCCTCTCTCCTGGGAAAAGGTTAGGTCATATGGTGGTGAGAATCGGACCCAGTGACTCACAGATGCCAGGCAAGCGCTCTACCACTGAGCCCCAGCCCCACCCTCCTCGGCCACGGCTCTATTAGCGTGACCTGAAAGGGAGAGTTGTGCTGGGGCCCCCATAGCTTCTCCAGGCGGACCCCGCTGCCCCTCCCATCCTCCCTGTCTTCCGCACTCTCCTTCTGCTCCACTCTCTGATGCGCCCCTCTGTCCCACTGCCGGTCCCTGAGCCCACGTTTCCTCTCTCCATCTCTTTTGTTTTTTGGGACTAGGGATTGGACCCAGAGGGGCCTAACCACTGAGCCACATCCCCAGCCCTTTTTATTTTTAATGTTGTGGCAGGGTCTTGCTAAGTTGCTTAGGGCCTCACTCAGTTGCTGAGGCTGGCTTTGAACTTGCCGTCTTCCTGTCTCAGCTTCCCGAGCTGCTGGGATTACAGGCGTGCTCCACCACGCCCGGCCCCATGCCTCTCTTGGCTCACCTTGAAAACAGTTCACTGTAGTCATGAGAGTGACAGGCCGAGTGCTCTGTCTGTAGCCATAGTGCCAGCCTCTCCCCACAGACCCCAGCTCAAGGGGACTGGGAAGGGCTCTGCCTCACTTGCTTTCTTCAGGGGCAGGAGGAAACTGCTTTCTGTTGGGGCAGTACCTTTCTGGTGGGGACGCTCTGGTTATAAACACCCTTATCCCCATATAAATGGGCCATTTTCTGCCTGTTCAGACAGGAGACTAAATCAGGGAAGCCAGGATTAAGAGCTGCCTAAATTACCTTGTCTCATATTGAGAGAAGTGGCCAGTGTGGGGTGGTGGGTGGGCTTGTGCCCTGGCAGCCTCTGGAGAGCTGGCTGCAGAGAAACCTGGGCTGTGCCCCATGTTAATCGAGGTTTGGCTTGATAGGTGTGGTTCCTGGGGCGCAGCAGTAGCAGGGCTTCAGGGCTGGAGCCTGGGTGGGCGCCAGTAGGGACATTGTTTCCTGCGTGGGGCTTTTTCTGTACACCTTGGTATTGGACTCTGGCCGTGGTGACCTCTACCATCAGCTCCTGGGTTCCAGTACCGTTGTGCAAGACTAGTCACCATCCCAGAGTCCTCAGAAGCCTGGCTCTGACCAGAAAGGCAAGAGGACGTGGAACCTGAGCGGCTCAAGGGTGGGCCAGGCAGGCTGCGTCTCGCTTGGGAGAGGGTCTGGTTTGCGGGAGGCCTTGCCTGACTGGCCCTTCTCATTCAGCGGGGAGTGAGACCCTTGACTTGTGCTGGCTCAGAGCGGGCCAGAGTATTGGACACGGATGAGGGACGGGTGGGCTGACTAACTTGGCCAGGCTGCTCGCAGAGCCACACTCTGCCCGGGACCCTCAATTCTCTTGGGACCTCTGAGGCCCTCACTGTGCCCCTTTCTTTTCCAGGGGAGCAACGATGAGCTTTCAGAGAATGAGGAGGATCTGGAAGAGAAGTCAGAGAGCGAAGGCAGTGACTACTCCCCTAACAAAAAGAAGAAGAAGAAACTCAAGGACAAGAAGGAGAAAAAAGCCAAGCGGAAGAAGAAGGACGAGGACGACGATGACAATGACGACGGGTGCTTAAAGGTGACCGCTGTGGCCTGGGCTGGAGGAGCTCCAGTTCTTTGCCCTCCAACCTGAGAGTCCATCCCGGGTTTTCCCAACCGGCGTGCACCGTGGACATTGGACACCATGTCTGAGACGTGCAGTGGCCAGGCATCCTGGAGACGTGTTGGGATAACGCTGGGCAGATTTAGGAGCTGGTGGAGGAAATTGCGTGTCTTGCTGATGTGTTGGCTGCTCTTGGCCGTGGCTTGCCTGTGTGCGCCTGCCCCTGTTTCTGGGGAGAGTGACAGTGGGAGCTCGGGTTGAGTGTCAGGAACCTTTGCTTGGAGCAGGACAAAGTGGAGTCTTCGCTGCCAGCAACAGCTGGCCAGCCCTGTTTAGGGTGGGAAGGGAACCTCGTTCCTAGCTTGCTCTGCAAGTCTGCCCGAGCCAGTGGGCATTCCCCAAGTCTCCTGCTGGACTTGCAGCAGAGCAGCTGCAGAGAATGGTCTTGCTTTCCTGGGGGACGAGTGGCTTCCCATGAATGTGCGGAAACATGGGAAACAAGCCATGGCTTTAGGCTCAGCCTCACACCCCCTGGGACTCAGGACCTCCACTCTCGGTGTTGGAGGATGACCCTGAGTCACCAGGAGGGCTTTGCTCCTCGAGCCCCACAGCATAAAGGTGAATGCTCCATAGATAATAGTACAGCCGCTGTTGGGCGGAAACACCGGTGGGAATGACTGAAGCTAGGAGGTGCCGAGGGAGGGGCAGCTCTCTCGGGGGCGTCTCCACACTGAGTGCTCTCATCAGTCAGTGGGTGTGTTGTGAGTCATCTGCGACTGGTGATAGCTGAGGGGCTGACAGTTCTGACTTCAGGGAGCAGTTCAGGGTCCCCCAACAGTGTCGTCCACTGCCTAGCTTCCATGCCCGCTCTGCTCTCCTGGGGGTGGGCTGGAGGGCCCAGGTGCCTGCAGGGATGGTAGGGACAGGTTGGTCACGGGAGGGTGTCCAGCTCTCTTGGAGCCAGGTTCCCAAGCTGCTCTGCAGTGCCGGTCAGGCAGGCCTGCTCCTCAGCTCCAGGGGGCCAGGGAGACCATGTACCACCTGGGGACTTTCTACTGCAGGAGCAGAAAGCCCAGCTCCCCCGGGTGAAGGCAGCACAGGGGGATACGGAGTCAGGGCCCTGAGACTGAGAGGTGGGGATCCTAGGGTGTGGGCCCCGGTGGTGGCTGTTTCTGTGCACCCCTCTCTGCCTCTGTGGGGTCAGCAGAACTCAGGCTAGGTGTCCTCAGGGCTAAGGGCAGGTGCACAGCAGTTTAGAGCTCCTCAGCCCCATTCTGCAGGACTCCCCGTCCAGTCACAGCCTGCATGGGACAGCGTGGCCATCTGGTCATCTGACCCCTGGGATGGGCCTCTTTGAGAGCTGGCTGGGTGTCTCCACACCTCCCTGGTCTCAGTGTCCTATCCTAAAAGTGAAGCATTGGCTAAAGGACCCTCTCAGCTCTGCCCTGGACAGGCCGTTGACCCATGCCCTACCCGGGCCAGGACATGCCTTCCTGTCTTCAGAACCTGACCTGTCCTTTCAGGGGCCAAACAGGACTGCACTGGGGGAATCTGGGTTGCAGACTGGGGGGCCCCCACCTCACCTCTGATCCCACTTTTGGCCTCTGTCTCCTTAGGAGCCCAAGTCCTCGGGGCAACTCATGGCTGAGTGGGGCCTGGACGATGTGGACTACCTGTTCTCGGAGGAGGACTACCACACCCTGACCAACTACAAGGCCTTCAGCCAGTTCCTCCGGTGGGTTGGGGTCCAGGATGCTGAAGCTGGGCATCTGTGGGTCCGTCCCTGGGGAACAACCAAGTCAGAGGTCGGGACAGAGAGGCAGAGCCCAGGATGAGGGCTGTCAGGCCAACCACTGACCTGCAGGGCTGGCAGGGGAGGGTCCTGTCCCTCCCCTTCATTTTAACAGATGGTCAGGCCTCCCCTGGCTGGCCTGGCCTGGGTCCTCCTGTTTTTTCCTCTGCTGCAGTGCCCTCTGTCCTCTCAGATCTTGCAGGGTCTACACACTGGTTAGCTACTCACCAGCTGTGAAGGAGGGAACAGGAGTGTCTGGGGTGGACTCTTGTCTTGGCTTTGTGCTTCCCTGCCCTCCTTTCTACCTGGTTTCGCTAGCCAGGGAACATGGGGCTGCTGCTGGAGGCTGCGGGGCTGGGAGAAGGGACGGCTCTGCCCTCATGTCCTGGCTGTTTCTCCCAACACAGGCCGCTCATTGCCAAGAGGAACCCGAAGATCCCCATGTCCAAAATGATGACGGTCCTAGGTGCCAAGTGGCGGGAATTCAGTGCCAATAACCCTTTCAAGGGCAGCTCTGCGGCAGCAGCCGCGGCGGCGGTGGCCGCAGCCGTAGAGACGGTTACCATCGCCCCGCCACTGGCCATCAGCCCCCAGCAGGTGCCCCAGCCAGTGCCCATCCGCAAGGCTAAGACCAAAGAGGGCAAGGGTAAGACTGCAGGTGGGGGACTCCATGCCCTGCTGGGCACCTGGGCACTCCTTACCAGGGGGTTTGGGCTGACTCGCCCTTTCTCTGCGGCCATGTGGCATCCTAGCCTGTTCCAGTCTACCTGTGGGGTAGGGAGGAACGGGAATAATGGGGACAGAGCTTTGGAGGTAGTGCCTGGTCACCCAGCAGGCCCCTCTACCTAGGATGGGGGGAAGGAGGGAGGCCCGAGTGTCCTGGGCTTCTGGGAGTTGGCAGGCTGGAGTTGGAGGTGGCCAGGGTTAACCTGTTGACCTCTCCTCTGGTTGCCACTGTGGCACAGTCCTTCTCCAGGCCTGCGGGGTAGCTAGAGGATCATTTCCCTGCCCCTTCTGGCTTTAGGATCCAGGGAGGTGCAGGAGTTGGGAGTAAGGGGCTGGTATGGTCAGACTGGAGCCCAGGAAGGGGGTCCAGATCCAGTCTGACTCAGGGCTAGGGGTTGTGGACAGGAGGAGAGGGCAGCAGGGAGGGAGCATTCTGCGTGGAGGTTTCTGGCTTCCTGGGTTTGGGGACATTGGTCTCCCAGGGTGCTCCCTAGTGCTATCTCCAGTAACTCAGCCTTCCTGGATGCTGATTTGGTTTTTGATGGGGGTGGGGGTTGAGGAGATCTGGGGACCCTGGTTTTCAGCCCCAAGGAGATTGGTAGCTGGGTGAGGTGGTGTACTCCTGTAATCTCAGTGACTTGAGAGGCTGAGACAGGAGGATCACACGTTTGAGGTCTGCCTCAGCACGTTAACAAGGCCCCCAGCAACTTAGAGAAGACTCTGTCTCAAAATTAAATAAGTAAGTAAATAAAAAGGACTGGCTCTGTGATAAAGCACCCCTGGGTTAAATCCAAGGTATATTTAAAGAAAGCAGCATTGGTTTCTGGGACAAGGCCGTGGTGCCGTGCCTGACACCCCTTTGCCAGGTCTTGGAGGGGGCCCGGTAGGCAAGTGACATGGGTCTGACCCTGCACCCTGTCCTGCCTGACCCTTGTCACCAGGACCTCAGGAAGGGCCTGGCCTAGCCTATCCACCACCTGCCCATCCACTTACTTATTTCCTCTGGGGCTCCAGCTGCCAAGCTATTGATTCCCCGAGCGCTGCTTCACAGCTGAGCTGTTGAAGTAGATTCTTTGTAGCATCACGAAGGGAGGGAGCAGTGGGACTCCCAGTCTGTCCGGAGAGTGGCCGGAGGAGGGCCTTGGCTAAAGCCACCTGGGTGTGAATCCCGCTGCTGGACCTCTCCTTCTCTGCTTCTCCTGGCAGTGGGTTGGGCCACTGGGGGTGGCTCACTGCCCCGTGGCTAGCTTCAACTTGCCGGCCTTTCCCTGGGGGGCAGCTGTGGGAGGGGCCTGCCCTGCCTGCTTGTAGGAAGGGCTTTTGGCCTCAGGACGTAGCTCTGGGGGCCCAAGCATGGACCACAGGCGGGTGGGCGTGCCTTTGGTGGCTCTGCTGAGGCGGACAGGGGCTTCCTTGGCTGGGGTGGGGACAGTGTAGGGGCAGGTGCTCTTGGCAGAGGGCCAGTGCTTTGGCCTGGGTCAGGTCAGTCTCTGGCTTTCCCTTTCCCTGCTGTGTGACCCAAGCAGGGACTCCCTGTGTCCCCAGCCCTCATGCCTCATCTGAAAAGGGAGATGGTTAAACCTCATTGGGTCACTGCATGAAGTGGCAGTTGGTGATCATGACCCTTGTTCTCAGGGCCTGGAGTGAGGAAGAAGATCAAAGGTTCCAAAGATGGGAAGAAGAAGGGCAAGGGGAAGAAGGTGGCTGGGCTCAAGTTCCGCTTTGGGGGGATTGGTGGCAAGAGGAAGAGGGGCTCTTCGGTGAGTGTGTATGTGGGCATGCATACTAAGTGTGTGCTTGTGTGTGTGTGCATGCAGATGTGTGAATGTGTGTATGTGCATGTGTGCTGGGGAGGGCCCGGGGGACCGAGGACAGTGGGCTTTCCTGTCATTCTCCTAAGCCGGCTGGGGGCTGGGCCCCGTCCCCTCCATTCTACCTGCATGCCTGCTGGGCTTACCCTGTGGCTCTGGTCGGGTATAGGCTGGATCTTTCCAAGGGCCCCTCTAGCTTGGGCTCTGGGCAGGAACTTTCCCCAGCCCACATTCTCTGGCTCCTGCTGCCACAGCTGTGGCTCCATCCAGGTAGCAGGGTACCCTGGGAGGGTGGGGCCCGGGGAGGTAGTAGGTAGGACCAGGCTAGTTGGAGCCCTGGTTATCCCTCCACCCCCAGGCCCAGCTCTGACCCCAGGGTCAGAGCCTAAGCCAGTGTCTCTGCCTTGCCCACTCCTTTCTCTGTGTGTGGAGGGTTTTTCCCCCTCACCTCAGCCCTGCAAGGTGAGAGGAAGTTGGAAGCTGTTGAGTTTAGCTGCTCTGAAGGGGAATATGGAGCAGAAGGGATGTCCCACCCCAGTCCAGGTCAGCTTAGCAAACACTTGATGAGCACCTGCTGTGTCCAGCAGGCCATGTCACACCTGGCTCGGCTCTGTCCTGTGGGTTCAGCCAAGGAGAGGTCTGGGGAGACTCCTTGGGTGGGGGTTCCTTAGGTCTGCCCCTTGCAGGGAGTTTGGCAGGAGGGAGGGCAGGGCCTGGGGAGTGGTGTGGAGGTGCAAATGTGGAAGTGCCTGGGGGCTGGAGAGCAGGGCTCAGTGGGTGGGGGGACATCAGGCTGGGCCAGTGGGCTGGGCTATGGCATGAGGCTTCTATCTGGATGTGGGGGAAGTGAACCCCAGGGAGCAGTCTCCAAAGCCTCCTCTGGCCCTGCATCGCTTCACCCCACCAATCCAGGCAAGCAAAGTCCTTGGATGAGCCCTGGGTATTCCTGGCTCAGAGGCCCCCTTCCTTCCTCTGCAGAGTGAGGAAGATGAGCGGGAGGAGTCGGACTTGGATAGTGCCAGCATCCACAGTTCCTCCGTGCGCTCTGAGTGCTCTGCAGCCCTGGGCAAGAAGAGCAAAAGGCGGCGCAAGAAGAGGAGGAGTGAGTGGGGCTTCCTGTTGCAGGGCTGTCAGGCCCTCCTGGTGGATATGGGGGCATTGCCGAGCCTCCCCTGGGGACGTGGGGAGGCATCCTCAGGCCTCAGCCTCCCCTGGTCTTGGCCAGGAAGATGCTCTATTGTTCCTCAACTGCCCTGGTCTCTTCTATCACAAGAGAGGGGTGTCCTGAGGAAGAAATAGGACCCTTGGTGTGAGCCACCAGGGGTCTGCGCTGGCAGGTAGGGCTGGAGAAACTCATCCACTGGTCACCCTGTCACCCACCCCTTTCCCCACCCACCAACACCCCTTCATCCTCTCACCCTCTAGTTTCATCCCTCTGTCTCACCTTTCCTCCCTCTCTTTTATCTTTCTGTCCATCCATTTTTCTGTTCCTCCATCCACCTTTCCCTCCTTTTCCCTATATCTGTCTTCCACCCATCTCTTCGCTTTTCCTACCTAAGCCACCCCCAGCATTTGTTCACCCCATAGGTCCCCCAACCCCCCCACCCATCCCTCCACCCCTCCACCCATTCACCCCAACCTGTCCACACACTCACCAATTCATCCACCCAACATCTATTAAGCACCTACTGAATTCCTGTCAGGCAAGGGTGATGGAGGTGGTTGTGCATCACTAGGGGGACGGCCCCTCCACTGCTGCCTTTTCCCCCTCTCCAGTTGACGATGGTGATGGCTATGAGACGGACCACCAGGACTACTGCGAGGTGTGCCAGCAGGGGGGGGAGATCATCCTGTGTGACACCTGCCCGCGGGCCTACCACCTCGTCTGCCTCGACCCCGAGCTGGAGAAGGCTCCCGAGGGCAAGTGGAGCTGCCCGCACTGCGTAAGCCCCGGTAGAGGCGGCCACAGGGGAGGGCAGGGGCGGCACCTGGCTCCCTGGACCCGGTGCCATCACCCGTCGGGGGGAGTCGGGCTGGGAGTTGGGGGACCCGGCCCAAGGTGCCTCCACCTGGACACCCCTCCAGGAGAAGGAGGGCATCCAGTGGGAGCCGAAGGATGACGACGAGGAGGAGGAGGAGGGCGGCTGTGAGGAGGAGGAGGACGACCACATGGAGTTCTGTCGGGTGTGCAAGGACGGCGGCGAGCTGCTGTGCTGCGACGCCTGCCCCTCCTCCTACCACCTGCACTGCCTCAACCCGCCGCTGCCCGAGATCCCAAACGGTGAATGGCTCTGCCCGCGCTGTACTGTGAGTGTTACGCCGCCCCGCCCCGCCCGGCCCCGCCCCGCCTCGCAGGCCCCGCCCCGGCCCGCCCACCCTGCTCGAGGCCCCGCCCCCGGGCCTGTGTAGCTTCTGAATGCCCTTTCTTCGCAGCTACCGTCAGCGAGAGTTTACTCTGCCCCAAGGGTTTGGCACAGACCTCATTCCCTTAGCCTTACTGAGCGTTCAAGAGCCAGGCTTTTGTTATTCCCATTTTTAGATGAGAAAATTGAGGCTCAGGAAAGGAAGTGAAGTGACTTAGGGCCACACAGCTGCAGAACTGTCCACTTCGACCCAGATCTTCAGAGCCATCCTGGCCCTGGCTCTGTCCCAAGACTGGGATAATGGGACACTTGAACCCCAGTTTCTACAGGGAGGCAGGAGTGCTTCCCCTCACTGCTACTCCTTGCCCCTCAGTGACTATAGGCTTGTGAAGGCCTTATGCTCTGAGTTGGCCCCCACGACCCTGCCACCCAAGTGATGGACCTCCCTGCCCTGTGGTCCTGCCTGTGCTGTGGCTAGCCCTGGCCAGTGTGTACCTGGGCTTGTGTTCTGTCTCTGCATGTGTGTCTCTGTTGCATAGGAGCCTGGGAGCCCTGTTGGACAGGTGCAGCCTTTTTAGCTGTTCTGCAAAACCCCCTGTGATGAGAGGTGGCAGGAGCTTAGTTCTGTCCAGGTCCCTCCCTGTAGGTAGGGATGGAGGTAGGTCAGGGTTGGGCAAGGAGGTGTCCCATCTACCTGCCAGAGCCAGTGGGGAGGAGGCTGGTCCTACTTGACTCCCCGTCTCCTTCTCCTTCTCTGCTCCTTGGCCTTTGCTCTCACTAGGCTAAAGCAAGGCTGGCTGTGGGGCTTTGTGGCATGCAGTGTATACCTGAAAGCCTTCCTGGGTGGTTTGGCACCACAGTAGTCCTAGATGTGGAGGAAGGTGAGGCCCTATTTTGAAGACGAGAAAACAGACTCAGGGGCTGTACCTAACCCCAGGTGGCTTGACAAAGATATGTGGACAGGTGGTGGCAGGGGTGGGACCTGCCCTCTCCAGCAGAGCTGTCTCTTGACATGCACAATCTCTGCCCCAGCCCAGCTGTGGCTCAGAACTGCCTCCTGCAAGGGCCAGGGCTGCTCAGAGCCCTTTCAGGGTAGCGTGCTCAGTGCACAGATGGTGGATCCGTGGCCCCTGCATTTCTCACTTCTGCCAGCCAGCAACTCCCTGGAGCCCAGCGTCCATCAGGACCCCAGTATGTTTCTGGGCTGATGGAGACTGGGTTTCTGACCCAGCCAGCTCAGATACACAGTGCCTGGATGGTTGCAGCCCCGCCTGGGGTGAGGCAGGGGGACAGAGCTGCATTGTCCTTCAGTGCCAGGCAGGAGCTTGTGCCCCACAGGTGCTTGTGGTCAGGATATGATGTGGCATGTTTTCAGGTGGGTTTAAGCAGGGAATGGGCAGTGGGAGGACCCATAAGTGGGGGAACGCTGCAGTCTTGGGCTCTGCTCTCTGCTCCGCCGTTCTTGCTGAGTGGGCCACGTTTTCTCCATCTGTCCTGTGTGTATGGCCGTCTCCTCACCTGGCTCAGGTTTTCCAGGTGTGAGGAAGCTCACAGTCAAGTGCAAAGCACGCACATGGACTCGGTGTTGCCCATCTCCTGCAGGCACAGCATGTGCTGGTTCCCGTGGACAGGGGTGGGTGCCGTGGAGTCACTGTGGTATGCCTCTGGCTTGGGGACTCTGCATCTGGTTGGAGGGAGCCTGTGTGACAGCCTGATGTCGTGGGAGCCCTGGGGTGCAGCCCTGTGCCTAAGCCCTGAACTTGGGGACCCTTCTGTGTCCACAGTGTCCCCCACTGAAGGGCAAAGTCCAGCGGATCCTACACTGGAGGTGGACAGAGCCCCCGGCTCCCTTCACGGTGGGGCTGCCAGGACCAGATGTGGAGCCGGGAATGCCCCCACCCAAGCCCCTGGAGGGTATCCCCGAGAGAGAGTTCTTTGTCAAGTGGGCCGGGCTCTCCTACTGGCACTGCTCCTGGGTGAAGGAGCTACAGGTGAGGCACGTGGGCAGGTGCGGCTGTGCTAGGCATGGCCTGGTGTGAGACTCTTGGCCCTCCTGGATGATGAGGAAGGGGCTGACACACAGTGCCCGCCCACCGGGGGAAGGGCATTGCTGGGAGTGGGCAGCTGAGGGGGAGGGTCGTCCTGCCTGGATCAGGGCTGCGGGTAGGGAGCTGGGTGAGGGGCACAAAGACACAGCCCATTTGCCTCTGGTAACTGCCGGGCTCTGTGAGCAGCTGGAGCTATACCACACGGTGATGTATCGCAACTACCAAAGAAAGAATGACATGGATGAGCCGCCACCCTTTGACTATGGCTCTGGTGATGAGGACGGCAAGAGCGAGAAGAGGAAGAACAAGGACCCTCTGTACGCCAAGATGGAGGAACGCTTTTACCGCTACGGCATCAAGCCCGAGTGGATGATGATCCATCGCATCCTGAACCACAGGTGTGTGCCCCGAGTGGTGACAGCCCTGAGCCTCACTGGAGGTGGACACCTGTGGAGCCGGGACCAGTGGTCCATTCACTCTGTAAGATGGGCACAGGGCTGGGAGCCTGGACCCTTTGGGGCTGCTGCTCAGAGCCACGTATGGGTGCAGTGGGGCAGGAGGAAGAGACCAAGGGCTCCCCGCTGCTGGTGATCTGACTGTCCAGCTATAAGGGCTCTCTGCCCAGGATACACTTGTACGTGCTTGTAGAGGGCAGTGGCAGAGTCATATGGAGAAAAGAGGAACTTGACAACCAGCCTGTAAACCTTACACAGAGCGGAAACGGGGTTGGGGATCCTCGCATTCCTGGGACCCTGCTGAGTCAGCTGGATGCCCTCAGGAGGGTTTTGAGGACCAGAAAGGCTGGGGTGCAGGGCTTTAGTGTCTCCACGTTTATCACAGCCGCCAACATCGGGCAGTGTGGGGGACCAGCAAGGCTAAGTCAGTGTCCCAAGCCTCACAACAGGTGGCAGAGCAGAGGGAACAGGTGCATCTGGGGGGTAGGATTACTCTCTTAGCCACTGTGCTAACCTCCGTGCCCCTGTGGCAGCTTAGTTGAGCAGTCTGGGAATTCTCCAGGTGACTTGGTGACCGTAGGCTGCAGGAGGCCAGGACGAGGAGGGTTCTGAGAGAACATTTGGCTTACACGTGGTGGGCAATGGCAGCACCTGCTGATTCTCTAGCTCAGGTGCTAGGAAGCAGGTGGTGGCCACCTGGGGGCCTTGGAGGGGGACCCAGCTTGGAGTACTGTACTCCCTGCTTGCGCCCTGAATTACTGGCTCTGCCTTTGAGGGGCTCAGGATCCGGTGGCTATTCCTGCCCTGCGTGCCTTGGGTAGTGTCTTGATAGTCAGTTGCTGGGTGCTACATGCTCCATTTCCACCCCAGCTCCCCATTTTTCTGGGATTCATGGTTGTGGGCTCCCTGTGCCTGTCTGTCTTATGAAGTGGGCTGCTGTCAGGCTGAAGGAGCTTGCAGAGGCCTTGCTGGGGTGGCCTTCAGGGCGGAGAGGCTGTGCAACTTGAAAAGGCTCCTCCCTTTGACTGTGAAGTGCCCCCACCTGTCTCCAGACTTCACTGAGAGTGGCCCTTACTGAGGGTCAGTATCTAGAGAAGCCTGAGCCCCCCAGCGTCTACCTTTGTTAAATTGCATGTTAAAAGCAGTTTTCCTCTGTGCTTCCAACGTGGAACAGGTAACTCTCCCCTGGACTTACTCCCTGGAGCCCATGTACCAACCAGTTATTTGCTGAAAAAGAATCTACTGGTTTCCATGGTGACTGGGATTGGTCTTGCTTCTTGATGGTGTCCAGGCCAGCTGCAGCACTGCTCATCCACCTCTTGGCCTGGCCACTGCCCTTTAGGGGTGCATGGCCCCCCAGCCCAGCTGTGTTTCCTTGGCCTGGTCACCTGCTCTACTCGGGTGGAAGTTCCTGAGGATCCTCCTGTTGGCCAGAATCAATCTGTGTGCTTCTGGGCTTGCGCATCAGGTCCAGTGCCCTTGGGGCTCTTTGGAAGAGGCCATCCCACCTGTGGGAATTGCATCTTTGCCTGCTTTTTAGAGAAAGGCCCCTCACCTGGGATGGATACTGCTCTTTTATTTTCCCCCCAATTTTAAATACAGTTTTATTTAGGACATTGCATTTTCTAGTCCTTTGGGTTTTTAAAGTTAGAAAACAGACAAGACAGAGGAGAGAACTTTCTCTAACAGAGATTCCGAATTCCTGTGTCCAGCCTGTGACTGGATGTGACTCATCCCTGTAGCAGAGGCTGGAAAGGACTCTGGATGCTGCTCCTGACTCCTCAGTGACCCTTTCTCTTCCAGTCTGTCACTTATCAGAGACCCTCTTCCATTGTGTGTCCTTGGGCAAGCTGCTGTACCTCTCTGGAGCCACTGCCCTGGCACCCTCCTCCTGGGTGGGCCCAGAATCCCAGGGGACCACTAGCACAAGTGGTTGTGCATCATGTGAGGCCCCCTGCATCATCGGCCCACACAGTGGCCACTGCCTGGAATGGCTGCCCCTCCCTCATCATCTATTTGCTGTGTTGCAGCTTTGACAAAAAGGGGGATGTCCACTACCTGATCAAGTGGAAAGACCTGCCCTATGACCAGTGCACCTGGGAGATTGATGACATCGACATCCCCTACTATGACAACCTGAAGCAGGCCTACTGGGGCCACAGGTGGGCTGCGGGATCCAGCCACCAGGTGTGGGCCCCTGGGTCCCCCTCCTGACTTGAACTCAGCTCTCCTGTACCCATGCTCTTTCCCAGGGAGCTGATGCTGGGAGAGGACGCCAGACTGCCCAAGCGGCTGATCAAGAAGGGCAAGAAGCTGAAGGATGATAAGCAGGAGAAGCCGCCAGACACGCCCATTGTGGACGTGAGTTGAGAGCTGGGCAGCAGGGTAGGATGGCCAGGGCTCCCTGGCCCAGGCTTGGCTGTGGAGGAGGGCGCGTTCTCCGGGACCCTCATGTGCTCGGACTCACCCACATGCCCACAGCCTGGCAGTAGGTGTGCCAGTTACACACCATTTCTACCTGCGAGGTGCGCTGGCCGGTGCATTCAGCAGAGCTCCCTGGGGTGTCTAACAATGCCTGGCCCTTGGGTGGCAGTGGGGGGTTAATGAGCCCTGGGCCCTGTTCCAGAAGCATCTTCTCCCAGGGCCCTGGGCAGGGACACACAGCAGGGTGTCAGCTGTGTGGGAGAGGCAGTGGGTCCAGTCCCTCAGGAGAACTTTCATCAGAGAGGCGCCTGCAGCCACAGCACGAAGGGCCCAGGTGATGTCCTGGGCCAAGTGGAGGTCCCCAGATCCACGTTCATTCTGTCACTCACCCAACAGTATGGACAAGTGCCCCAGCGTCAGAGGCACTGTGTGGGGCATCTGGGAAGCAGGGAGCAGGATTGGGGGGGGTCACGACAACCTGGGTAAAGACAGAGAATGCAACAATCAGATGTCCCTGGAAGGAGAAGTTCAGGGCCAGCTGGGGAGGACCTGTGGCAGCAGGTAGGCCAGGCAGGGAGTCGGCCTTCTAGCTGAGGCCTGAGGAGGGGCTGGGGCGACAGGGAGGAGCAGGAGGGTTCCAGGGAGGAGCAGGAGGGTTCCAGGGAGGAGCAGCTACCTGTGCAGAACCTGGAGGGTGGACCCCGTGGCCCAGGACTCAGCGTGTCTGCACTTCTCCCTTCCCCACAGCCCACGGTCAAGTTCGACAAGCAGCCATGGTACATCGACTCCACAGGTGGCACGCTGCACCCCTACCAGCTGGAGGGCCTCAACTGGCTGCGCTTCTCCTGGGCACAGGGCACTGACACCATCCTGGCCGATGAGATGGGCCTGGGCAAGACAGTGCAAACCATCGTGTTCCTGTACTCCCTGTACAAAGAGGTGGGCATGCTGGCAGGTGGGTGGGCAGAGGCTGGCGCCAGCTCTGGGCAGACAGATTCACTGCCTCAGTCTCTCTTGGCAGGGCCACTCCAAGGGGCCCTACCTGGTCAGTGCGCCCCTGTCTACCATCATCAACTGGGAACGTGAGTTCGAGATGTGGGCACCCGACTTCTACGTGGTCACCTATACGGGAGACAAGGAGAGCCGCTCTGTGATCCGCGAGAACGAGTTTTCCTTTGAGGATAATGCCATTCGGAGCGGGAAGAAAGTGTTCCGCATGAAGGTGAGCGTCCTTGTCCCCGGAAGGTGCCTGGTCTCCCAGGGGCCCAGAAGCCCTGCAGTGTGCAGTGTCCCTTCCCTGCCCCGTGGAGGCTGAGGTGCAGGCTGGCACAGGACTTCTGCAGAGGAGACTTCAGGCTGGTACCAGCATCTTAAACAGAGGTGCTGGCCTCCCTGTGAAGACTCTAGGGGAGGATCCAGCCTTCCTGCTGCTTCCTGCCTCTGGTGGCGTCCCTCGTCTTGGTCCGGTCACCTGGTTTTCTCCCCTTTGTGTTCTTATAAAGACACCAATCACAGTGCTCACACAACCACCTGATCCAGCATGACCTCAACTAACTGTATCTGCAAAGACCCGTTTGCAAGAAAGCTTCTAGGTGGACTGGAGTTTAGGGAAGACGTTGTTCAACCCTGTACACCATCGGTGTACCTCTGGCAAGTCGCTGGGTCTCTCTGTATCTTAGAGTCTTCTCAGAAAAATGGGGCTAACAGACCCCTTTACACAGCTGTTGGGGGAGGGTCATGGTCAGGAAAAGCTAGGCAGGGCCTGCTGACTTCGTGCTGCTAACCCCCAGGGGCTTTGTCTTAGGGCAGGCGCTGAGCCAACAGCTCCTGTCAGGAGGAGGGGGCCGAGATTCTGCATTTGATTTACTAGGACTTATTTATTTATTTATTTATTTTGCAGTGCTGGGGATGAACCCAGGGCCTTGCCCTTGCTAGGCAAGTGCTATACCACTGAGCTAAATCCCCAGTGAGATTCTGCATTTGAAACAAAGTCACAGCTGACACGGATACACCAACTTCTGGTACCTTGGCCACACATTGGGCAGAAGAAGGTGGTGCATCAGCAGGCCCCAGCTAAACATCAGCACTCACGTTAGCTCCTGTGTTGGGGGCTGGCAGTGTCTCCCAGGCCCTCCAGAATGTGTTGTCTTGGCTTCGTTGATGGTCTCTGAGCAGCCGTTCAGGTTCCTAGGAGAGGCTCAGAAACTGTCTGCTGAAGGAACAACAACTGGATCAGTGTGATCCCAAGGTGGCTTTTTAGACAGATGAGCCTATGAGCCTGGGGGGTCACAAAGAATCCCCCCCTTAGCTCCCTCTGGGGTCTGGCTATGGCTGGGCACTTCAAAGTCTTCACTCCCTTAGTTATTATTTTATATATTGTTTATTTTATGTACTTATGATTTTATATATTTTTCAACCAGGGATTGAACCCAGGGGCGCTTAACCACTGAGCCACATCTCCAGCCCGTTTTATTTTTTATTTTGAGACAGGTTCTCAATAAGTTGTTTAGGGCCTTACTAAGTTGCTGAGGCTGGCCTTAAACTTGTGATTCTCCTGCCTCAGCCTCCTGAGCCGCTGTGATTGCAGGCATGGCCACTGCCCTCCGTGCCTCCCTTATTCTATTAAAAAATTGTGGTAAGATGCACATAAATTTACCATTTTAACCATTTTAAGAGTACATACTCAGGAGTGTTAAGGACGTTCACGTTATCCTGAAACCAGTCTCCAGAACCCTTTCCACCTGGCAGAATGGAAGCTGTCTCCATTAAACACCGACGCCCCATCCGACACCTGCCAGCCCCCGGCAACCACCTCATGCGTTCTGTGTCTGAGACTCTGACTCCTCCAGGAGCGTCAGGCCGGTGCAGTCGTACAGCGTGACTCCTTAGCAGAAGGCCTTCAGGGTTCATCCACTGTGAGGCCTGGGTCAGAGTGGCCCTCTGTTTTCAGGCTGAGTGTTCCCCACCGGGTGGATGGACTGTGTTTTATTTCATCTGCGGACGGGCCCTTGGGCTGCCTCTCCGCCTGGCCGTCAGGAACAGTGCTGAGGACGTTGGTTGTGCCGCTGTCTCTCCGCGTCTCCATCCACGCCTCCCTTGGGGGTGCACTGTGGGTAGGGTTGCAGGACCACGGGGTCATTCTGTTTTTGACTTTGTGAGGAACAGAATGAGCTCTTCCAGTCCTCGTGGCTGTCCTCACTGACCTGGGTGAGGGGCCTGGGGCTGGGGCCGGGAATAAGCTGATCAAGGTCCCAACTCAAGAGGCTGGGGCTGGTACAAAGCCTGTGGCCAGCTTTCCCTCTGCCCCTCTCTGATCCCCCCACACGGGCGCTTGTCAGTGGGAGAGACGGGTGTGGACTGGCTGGGATGTGGGGCCCAGTGCAGGGTGAGAGTGCAGGGCCCTTGGTTCAAATGCAGGAGAGCTGCTTCTTCCTTTCTTCATGGGCTTGTCTGACCCGCCGTTCTGTGTTTCAGGTATTTAATGTCCCATTCCCTTGATCTGGAGACAGTGGGTAAATGCAGAGCCTCAGGGCGCCGGGGGCCCACCCTGTAACTTGGGGCATAGAATGTGCACCTAGCCCCCTCCCCACCAGCATTCAGGCCCAAGCCAAGTGTGACAGTGGTCACTGAGCAGAGGCAGGGGAGCAGAGACCTGTCCCACAGATGTGGGACCTCAAGTGAGGCTCCCAGCTCCAGCCATGTCCCACCATCCCACAGGACTTTTTTTTTCTTTTTTTACAAGTTACAAACTCAATATTAAAACGATTCAGAATTTCACATCAGCAAATACGAGGCACGAAACCCCCAGTGTGGAGTCCCTTTGTTCTGTTTGAGCCCTGACTCTGCCATTTGTTACCTGGGAGAGTTCTCGAGCCTGAGGTCCCGTGAACTCTAAGTAGGGACAATGACAGTTCAGCTCTTAGAGTACTGAGGATAAGAGGAGAGCTGAGGAAGTAGCGCAGGGCTGGCCCCATACCACCTGAGCAGTGAGCGGCAGCTCTCCTGTTTCAGTAACAGTCATCCCCGCACTGCCACCCATGGGGTCCCTGGGACTTGTTCTGGGACCCACAGGACACCAGAATCCTCAGGTGCTCAAGTCCCTTGTATAAAATATGACGGATGCCCACCCTCCCATATATGCTGTCACCTTAGCTTCTTCTTGCAGTGCTAACTTACAGGACACTTATGACTTTTGCTTACGGGTGAGTGGCGTTTGGATTGTTCAGGGCCTAACAGCAAGGATAATGACAGGTGCAGGATTTCTCCTAAATACTTCCCACCCAAGGTTGGCTGCGTCTGTCAGTGTGAAACCACGGTACGGAGGGGAAACTGGGTTGAGTTTTCTTTGTCTGCAGCACTCCCCTCTTCCGGGTTCTGCCCTCTGGGCCTCAGCTGCCTCCCTCTGTGTCCCCTCCTGTCCTGGGCTAGCCAGGCTCTGGAGCTCCAGGTCCCCATCCCCCTGACTCTGCCTCGCCGATCGGTCTGCTCAGCCCCCAGCTGCCTCCTCCCCAATGTTCCCCTTCCCTGCAGAAAGAGGTGCAGATCAAGTTCCACGTCCTCCTCACCTCCTACGAGCTCATCACCATCGACCAGGCCATCCTGGGCTCCATCGAGTGGGCCTGCCTCGTGGTGGACGAGGCCCACCGGCTCAAGAACAACCAGTCCAAGGTAGGCAGTGCTGGCCGTGCGGCTGGGGGCCACTCAGATGGGGGTCACCTGGTGCCCCCATGACTGGCCCTCTGCTCCCCGCAGTTCTTCAGGGTCTTGAACAGCTACAAGATCGATTACAAGCTGCTGCTGACGGGGACGCCCCTTCAGAACAACCTCGAGGAACTCTTCCATCTCCTCAACTTCCTGACTCCAGAGAGGTTCAAGTGCGTCCCCTGTCCCCTGCGCCTGGCCGGTGGGGTGGAGGTGCCTGGGGCACAGTGAGGACGTTATCAATGTCCTGGGGCAGGAGGGGCGTGGCACGGGCTCTGCCATGCTTGGTGGATCCCAACTGCTGCTAAGCCTGCGATTTCCCCTCAGCTCTGCCCTGGAAGGCCCTCCCCAGGGCACCTTCTGGGCTCTGTGTCCCCTGCCCTCTTCCCCACCTTCAGGTGACCCATGTGAGCAACAGTGATGGGAGGCAGAGGCCAGGGCGGGGGAGGGTGGAGATGGAACCTGCTTCCCCAGCCTCCTTGTTACCCACACCACATTCCTGCTCAGAATGAGGGGGGCTCAGGGTGAGGGGGGCTGACTCTGGAATCAGGAGGTGTTGAGCCGGAAGCAGGTTTTGGCCGGTTGCATAACCTTGGACCTGTCGGCTTCAGTAGCTGGTTTGTCGTCTGGTTGACGGCTCTGGAGAGCTCCCACCCAGGATGCCTCAAGGATGGAGAGATCCTGTGTGGCAGAAAGAGAGGGCAGAGGCTGACGGCTTCTTAGGGCAGTGCCTGGGCCCCCTGTCCTACGCCCTGTGCTGCCTGAGCTCTCTGCCCCGGCCCCTGTACCCTAACCCTGAGTTGCTCTGCAGAGGCCCGTGTGTCCTGGGCCTCTGCTGCTGGCCCTCAGCCCTGTCTGTGTTGCAGCAACCTGGAGGGTTTCCTGGAGGAGTTTGCTGACATCTCCAAGGAGGACCAGATCAAGAAGCTGCACGACCTGCTGGGGCCCCACATGCTCCGGCGGCTCAAGGCCGACGTTTTCAAGAACATGCCGGCCAAGACGGAGCTGATCGTCCGCGTGGAGCTGAGCCAGATGCAGAAGTGCGTGGCCGGGCTCAGCCACCTGGGGGGTCACCTGCCTCTGCCCCGCCCGAAGGCCCCAAGCTGGCCTTCCCGGGCCCCTCCCTGGGATGGTGGAGGCCTGGGCTCACCTTCGCCGACCCTTCCTTCTTGGGGCTCTTCTCAGATCGCCGTGTCTGCGCTGCCTGAGTTCTAGCTGGGTCTGGCTCCCGACCGTTTGCCGGGTGATTTCCCCTGGTGGCCCCACCTCTGGGGCTCCACGGGGTCTCTCTGCCAGAGCTGCCTGGCAGGGGCCCCAGCCTCCCTGAAGGGCAGAGTGAGCCCCTTGGAGGCCGGAGGCCGGGTGTACAGAGCGCCTTGCCTGTGTCCATTGCAGGAAGTACTACAAGTTCATCCTCACGCGGAACTTCGAGGCGCTGAACTCCAAGGGGGGCGGGAACCAGGTGTCCCTGCTCAACATCATGATGGACCTGAAGAAGTGCTGCAACCACCCCTACCTCTTCCCTGTGGCTGCAGTGGTAGGTGCCTTTGCCCAGGCCTTGGGCCCTCGGGCCCTCAGCTCCCCCGAGGACCTGGAGGTGGCTTGGGTCCCCTTCATGCCAGAAGTTCTGAAACCTGCCTTTGTCCACTGCCTGGCTCAGTCTTCTTCTTCCCTCGGGCCCTCCCCATGATGCATAGAGTCAAGGGGCCACCAGGTCACCCCAAAGACCCCTCTGTTCCTAGTATCAGGGCTCCAGGGCAGGATTCGAGGGCTGTGCCCAGTCCCTAAGGGAGTGTGCCACCAGCTCCCAGGGGGAGTCCAGCAGCCACGGGTGAGATGCTAAACCCTGGAACCATATATTTCAACCCCAGCACTATGTCCTCAGGAAAGTTAAAGCTCCTCTCTGAGCCCCGACATCTTCCTCTGTAAAATAGGGACAGTAGCAGTGTCTACCTGGAAGGGATCTGCTGGGGGTCAGAGGAGCACAACTCTGCTGAGCTGGACAGGGATGTCTGTCCTGGGGTGTCCCAGCCTAGGGCAGCCTGAGATCCTTGTTGTGAGACTCAGGTGGCAGAGTATTTTGTGGGACTTAACTTTCTGATTAACCTGCCCAGCTGGGGTCAGAGGGTTGCCCTGCTGGATGTACCCAGTGAACGCAGGGACAAGGCCAAGTTCCTGCTAGGAAGGCTGGCGTGGCTTCACCCTCTCTTGGCTTCCTGACATCTCAGGTCTCAGGTCTCAGGTGCCAACTAGGGAGCCAGGCCAAGGACAGGGCTGGCAGGTCTGTGCCCCACCTGGGAACATGGTGCCGGAGCCAGCACCCACGTGATCCGCAGCCCATCCCGTGCTGTTGATCCAGCTCTGGTTTGGGCTTTGTGCTCAGCAGGGCAGACAGGGAGTTGGCCCGTGGCTAGACCCTTATCTGTCCCCTGCAGCCTCCTGGGTGCCAAGCCAGGGAGGGACGCTCACCGTGGCCCTCTTCTGCTGTGTCCCCAGGAGGCCCCTGTCTTGCCCAATGGCTCCTACGATGGCAGCTCCCTGGTGAAGTCTTCCGGGAAGCTCATGCTGCTGCAGAAGATGCTCAAGAAGTTGCGTGATGAGGGGCACCGTGTGCTGATCTTCTCTCAGGTGGGCCACCCAGGAACCCCAGCTGACACCCTGCAGAGAGCACCCTGCCTCGATGGCTGAGCGCCTGCCTTGCCTGGGCCCTCAGGCACTAATGCTGGTCCACGTGGCGTGGGTATTGAGGATCATTCCCTGGTGTGCCCTGGCGGGAAGCAGCCAGTGGCTGGCTGAGGGCAAAGTTCAGGAGCCCCTCTCCCTGTAGATGACATCTGCTGTCAAGATCAGCCCCACCCTCTGCCCTGTCACGCCTCCTCTGCTCGCTCTCACCCTGGCAGCCAGGCCTGTCATTAGGGGGCCCTGGGGTTGGTTTGGGAGAACAGTGGGGCAGCTCCAGGGGCCCCTCTCTCCAGCGTGATCCCGAGGTTCACTGGCAACATTCCTGTTGGCACAGAGAGGCAGGGCTGTTCAGCCTCAGGTCAGCTCACTTTTCCCTCCATTCCTTCATTTGCGGCCACTGTCTATCAGGCTCGGTCCTAGGCCCATGGGTATAGCGAACAATGATCTGGCTCCTCCTCTCCATCTGCCTACTTTAGAGAGGAAGAGTTTATGAGACAGTTGCCTGAGTCTAGTCAGCTCTGTGTTGGAGGCCGTAGTGATGGGCCTGCAGGATCCTATTTGGTTTGACCTCCCCTGGAGGTCAGGCCCAGCCAGGCCACTGCTCACAGCCAGAGTGTGGAATCCAGCTCCTCTGCACAGAGGTCAAGCAGAAACAACTGCTGCTGTGTGCAGCCCTGATCACACCCCAGGAGGGCAGTGGGCTGGAGTCCCAAGGAAGTAGGCAACCTGTGTCTGGAGATGAACCAGGCAGCGACTGGAACTTGGATCCACATTCCTCCAACACCACTGTCCACATGAGACCTGATCTGGCAGAGTCCGCCTGGGACCACGTAGAGTGGACTGTCAGAGCGCCAGAAATGTGTGCAGAGGGAGCCCGACAGAGGCGGCCTCCTCCTGTCCAAGTGAGCCAGCAAACCCAGACTCCCAAACTCACAGTGGAACTGGCTGCTAAGACATCCCACAAAACCATAATTAGAATCCACATCAAAACAATGATAGAATGGCCTGAAAAAGACTTTCAAGAAACATGTTGAGGGTCCTCAAAAAATTAATGGATTAACCAACACCTAGAAATGAAGAAGAATTCATTTAGGAAAAAGCAGGAGGCAATAAAACAAGAGCACACAGATAATTCTGCAGAGGAATTTAGTCACTGAAATAAAACACTTCACCAGGCTGGATAAATTTTTTACATCAACGAAGAGAACACTGATGAATTAGAACCTGGTACCGAGGAACTTCCTAGGATGTAGCTAGACAAAGACGAGAGAAGGAGCATGGTGGTAGCCTGTGAGGCCCCAACAATCATCTGATAGGAGTTGGAGAAGAGAAACCAGGGAACCATGGAAAGCAAGACTTGAGGAGTTTATGGACTTGGAGAAAGACATGAGGTCTCAGACCTACAGTGTACTCTAGAGCTCCAGCAAGGTCCATATCAGTAAACCAAGCCCTCGGCACCTGGTAGGGAAACTAGCACTTCACACCTGCAGCTTACAAAGGAGAGGGCCAGGACTGTCCATCAGTAACAGGTGGCAGAGAGGAAGGCAAAATCTCCATGTACCGAGGGAGTGCCTGCTGGTAGTTTCATATCCAGCTGAACCATCTCAAGACTGCTGGGCCGTCAGCAGGGTTAGGGGTGCTCAGCAGAAACTGCCTTTCTTCTGGGGAAGAGTGACATCAGGGAAGATATCACAGGAGGCGATATTTGAGTTCCCCAGGCAGAAAGGGGGGTGGGGGGGTATTGTGGGAAGAGTCTGGTTGGGAATGTCTGTGGGGGGAGTGAGTATTGGGCCTCAGGGCCTTGACTGCTGGCTGAGGAGCTGGGACTCCATTCTGAGGGGCATGAGCAGGGGAGGCTGCTGGTGTGGAGGGTGGATTGGCTGCTGGATGGTTGGCAGCCATATTCTCCAGAGTCCTGTCCTGGGTCCGCCTGGGTCCTTTTTGTCTCCCTACTCAGTGGGCTGCCCTCTCCTCCCCCATCCATGGCCCTGTGGACTCCTGGCTCCATGGCCACTCCTCACGCACCCCTCTCCCTGTAGATGACCAAGATGCTGGACCTTCTAGAAGATTTCCTGGAATACGAGGGCTACAAATATGAGCGGATTGATGGTGGCATCACCGGGGGCCTCCGGCAAGAAGCGATCGACAGATTCAACGGTACCCACCCCACCTGAGGGTTCTGACTAGGACCCCACTTCAGCCTCCGCTCCAGGCCAGGTTCTTAGCTGGAACCCAACTCATGTTGGGTGGACTCCACAAGTGACCGATGAAAGCTGACTAGTCCTTAGGTCATGACTGTGTTCTCTTAGGGTCCCTGGGGATTGAACCCCATGCCAGCACATGATAGGCAAGGGCTCTACCACTGAGCTACACCCCAACCTTTTTACTTATTATTATTATTTTTTAATTTTGAGACAGGGTTTTGATGGGTTGCCCAGGCTGACTTTGAACTTGTGATCCTCTTAGCCTCCCGGGTAGCTGGGATTATAGGTGTGCACCGCCATGCCTGGCTTCTTAGTTTTAAATGCTAAAAGGATTTGTCCTAACGGGCCTTCTGGGGTCTGTTGGGGTTTTAGGAATCCACTTGATAACACTTACTTTGAACAGAATTAGAAAAGGACAAGATGAAAGGCAGATGGGGGAGGGAAATTTCACCTTTGTCATCAAATGAAGCTGGTACTGAGGGTCTGACTGGCACGCTGGGCCTCTACTGTGGACACCAGATAAAGCCCAGTTACTAGCAGAGCCTGCCACTGACGCACATGGAGGGTGTAACTTCCGAGGGCCTGGCTGCTGGCCTCTCGAGGGCTCTGCCGATATTTGCCGGCTGCTGGTTTGGTTTTTGCTCATCTGGGCTTTAAAAATTGGCTTCCTTCTCATTCTGGCTTCCTCCCTTTGGACCAGAGCTCGGAGCGCTCATTGTCTGGGCCTAAGTGGCCCCAGGTGGGCTCCTCCCGCCTCCCTGAGTGCAGGTATGGCTGCCCGTCTGTGACGGGGTCACTGTCTTGTCCTGCTTCTTTGCCAGGGACCTGTTGCTGGGGTTTCTGCCCATGAAATCTCCTCCCACCCTCTGCCTGCCATCCATCTGTGCCCTGCTCAGGTGGCACCATTAACCCACCCTCACCTGTCGGCCTCTCTTTCTCAGCCCCCGGGGCCCAGCAGTTCTGCTTCCTGCTCTCGACCCGGGCGGGTGGCCTGGGCATCAACCTGGCCACGGCAGACACGGTCATCATCTACGACTCAGACTGGAACCCGCACAATGACATCCAGGTCTATGGCCCCCCTGCCACCCCCATCCTTTGTACCCCCTGACCGTGCTCCTGACTCCTCCCTAGTTCCCTAGGCCTCCCCCTGCGGTGGAGGCTTTGCCCCCCCCCCCCCCCCCCGCCCTCATTGCACAGTGGAGGAAACAGACCCAAGAAGGCCGGGTTGTGCAAGGCACGGAGCAAGCTGGCTGCTAACCCTGGTTTGTCCTGTCACCCTCAGGACCAGCCCTTGCTGCCCTTGAAAGGTGGCTGTTTGTTTGTAACGTGTGCTCTGTGGTCCCATTTGCTGTCCCTTAGGGAGGTGCAGCCCCGTCTCCCCATGGCCCACCACCGTGTGGCTCCCTTTCCAGGCAGCACACAGACCACTCTCCTCTGCACGCACCGGCAGTCACAGTTAGTTCCACCTGCCAGGCGCATTTTCATCCAGTCCCAGCCTGGCTGCCACATCCACACAAGGCTGGGCATTCGGGTGACTCTCTCATGGTTATGAACTCATGGGAAGCTCCCCAGCCCATGGCACCCCACCCCATACCCAGCGTCCTCAGTCAGATCCTGGTACTGAGCTCCAGGTCTCCCCAGGCCTTCAGCCGTGCCCACCGCATTGGGCAGAACAAGAAGGTAATGATCTACCGCTTCGTAACCCGGGCCTCTGTGGAGGAGCGCATCACGCAGGTGGCCAAGCGCAAGATGATGCTCACCCACCTGGTGGTGCGTCCGGGCCTGGGCTCCAAGTCGGGGTCCATGACCAAGCAGGAGCTGGATGACATCCTCAAGTTCGGCACCGAGGAGCTCTTCAAGGACGACGTGGAGGGTGGGCCTCCCTTCTACAGGAGTCTGGTGGGGGGGTTCAAGGGTGACCCTGCGTGAGAAACCCCTGTCCAGGATCCCTACCAGTCCCACCATGCACAGCCTCACTCTCCTCAGCTCCTGCCCGTGTCTCCTTCCTCAGCGGGCCAGGGTGGCATCTGTCCACTGCCCACCAACCCTGCAGCCCCTCTGTGCCACCACAGCAGTGCCCTTCCTCTGCCCTCCAGGTATGATGTCGCAGGGCCAGAGGCCTGTAACGCCCATCCCTGACGTGCAGCCCTCCAAAGGGGGAGCCCTGGCTGCTAGCGCAAAGAAAAAACACAGCAGCACCCCGCCAGGTAGGGAGGCCCACTTGAGTCCAGCCCAGAGCTGATCCCGTGGTGAAGGGGTTCTCCTGCTGCTCCCCCAGGGAGTGGGCTGTGGCACCTGTGCAGGTTACAGCCAGGTTTTCTCCCAAGGGGTTGCTCTGCTCCTTGGCTCAGTCTGGAAGAGAACGGGGGTTGGGCTTGAACACTCCCTCTGTCCCCATAATGCACTGTGTCTGCTGCTCAGGTGACAACAAGGACGTGGAGGACAGCAGTGTGATCCACTATGATGATGCGGCCATCTCCAAGCTGCTGGACCGGAACCAGGATGCCACCGACGACACGGAGCTACAGAACATGAATGAGTACCTCAGCTCCTTCAAGGTGGCGCAGTACGTGGTGCGCGAAGAGGATGGCGTGGTAAGGCCCCTGGACTGCCTCTGCCTTTCTGTCTGTGATCCTCTGCTGTGACTCTGCCCCATCAGGCCCCGCCCTTGCCAGGCCCCGCCCTTCGCCTTGCTCCACCTGCCTGGCCCCGCCCTCTAGCCTATCAGGCCCTGCCCTGTGGCCTTGCTCCACCCCCCAGGCCCCCCCTCTAGCCTGTGCTCCGCCCATCAAGCTCCTCCCTCCAGCCCCAGCCCCCCCCTCATCAGGCCCCGCCCTGCAGCCAGCCTTGCTCCACCCACAAGGACCTTCCCTCTTTAGTGCTCTGCTCATCAGGTCCCGCCCTGCCAGGCACCCCGCTGCGGCCTTAGTTTGGGGTCGCCCTCCACCACAGGCTGAGGCTGTGCAGAGGGAAGGACCATACAGCCACATCCTTGCTGTTGTCTTCCTCCTCCTCCAAGCACCGGCATTTGGGATGTACACATGGAACTGCCACCTCCTGTAGAGAGGCCTGTTCAGGGGTCTGGTGTCAGGCCTTTCCCCCCTGTCCACTGGGCCCCTCCCAGCCTTGCCTGGGGCTGCATCTGGCCTGGCTGGACCACTCCTGTCTGGAACACTCCTGCACTGCTGCCTGGAATCTTCTGCCTTCCCCACCCTGCAAACCCCCTTCTTCCACAAGAACCTTTACTTCTTCCTGAACTCCCCAGGCACCGCGTGCTAATTAATTGTCCTTCCCCTTCAAACCAGGAGCCTCCTGAGGGCAGGGGCTGGGCCTTGTCAGCCCTGTAACCTCACACAAGACCAGGAAATACTGTGTAGTGACTGAATGACTGCAGGAAGGGCAGGGAGACGAAGACCTTTGGGTGGGTGGCAGGGAAGGCTTCCTGGAATAGGCAGGACTCTCAGTTGCTCCTTGAGCCCGAAGACGGTGGTGAGGTAAGGTTGATGGCGAGGCTCCCCAGACAGGCCAGGGATGCCTGTCCAGCCAGCTGTCCTGCTAGCCCCTGTGCCTGTGTCCCCAGGAGGAGGTGGAGCGGGAGGTGATCAAGCAGGAGGAGAACGTGGACCCTGACTACTGGGAGAAGCTGCTGCGGCACCACTATGAGCAGCAGCAGGAGGACCTGGCCCGCAACCTGGGCAAGGGCAAGCGCATCCGCAAGCAGGTCAACTACAATGACGCGTCCCAAGAGGACCAGGGTGTGTGCTGCGGCTGGGAGACCCGGGGGTTCTGGAATGTCAGAGGGCCATGTCTGCAGGAGCCCCTGTCTGGTGCAGTTCTGCAGGCAGGGAGGTGGTTGGGGAGGCTTCTGGGAGAAGGGGGCTGGGTGGGTTGGGGGTGTTAGGAGGGGAACGAGGCGGGTATCTGTCCAGTGACTTCTTGCACGTGGTGTGAGGTTGGGCAAGCCTTCCTAAGTCTGTTTCCCTGTCTGTAAAGTGGGATGGGATGGGGTCATTCTTAGTGTATTCCGTGGTGTGATTCCTAAGTAGTGGAGTTGAGCTATTAAGTGAGCTCACAGGAAGTACCTGGTGACCGCTGTCAGTGTCACTGTCTTCGCTGGGCTGGGGTATAGGGCTTGGCCTGGCCCTGGGGGTGCCGAGGGTTGGAGGTGGGCTTCTGTTTGCACACATGCGCTCTGCCTGCCTCCCTGCAGAGTGGCAGGATGAGCTCTCAGACAACCAGTCTGAGTATTCCATCGGCTCCGAGGATGAGGATGAGGACTTTGAGGAAAGACCAGAAGGGCAGAGTGAGTATCCGTGCTGGTGACCTGGTCGGCCGTGGGCCCTGGTCTGCCGTGGGCCCTGGTCTGCCGTGGGCCCCTGTGGGCCCTGGTCTGCCGTGGGGCGTGGCCGGGGTCCTACTAGAGGTAGTAGCAGGAGGATTCCTGAGGTGGGCTGGTGAGTGGGGTGAGGAGGGCCCCCTTGGCCCTACCTGAGGGTTTGTGGCGGCTTCTCCCCAGGTGGACGGCGGCAGTCCAGGAGGCAGCTGAAAAGTGACAGGGACAAGCCCCTGCCCCCTCTTCTTGCTCGAGTTGGCGGCAACATTGAGGTGGGGCCTGCCTGTTCCCCGTCTCTCCCAGTCCCCCGTTCCTGCCACCCCTGGGGTATGGAGGAGGGGCTGGGGGCTTGTCCAGGGTCATATGCCAGGTAGAGGTGAGGCAGGGAGGGACCCCAGGGGCAGGCTCCCCCCACCTTCTTTCTCTCCCATCTCTGAGTTCTCTGTACCCACTGTCTCTGACCTGACCCACGCCTGCTCTCTGCCCTGCCCAGGTCCTCGGCTTCAATGCCCGACAGCGGAAAGCCTTTCTGAATGCCATCATGCGCTGGGGCATGCCGCCCCAGGACGCCTTCAACTCCCACTGGCTGGTGCGAGATCTCCGCGGGAAGAGTGAGAAGGAGTTTAGGTAAAGGGACCAAGGTGGTGGCCCAGGTGTGGCCTCCCAGTGTGTAGGCCCTCCCAGTGTGCAGTCTGCTGCTGCCAGGCTCAGGACATCTGGAAAGTTCACTGTCGTGTGGTCTTGGAGGGGTGCTGGTGGGGTGGCTGGCAGAAACGCTAGCCGGCCTGTCTGCCTAGCCCGGCTGGCAACACTACAGTGGGGGACATCTGGGTCTTCCAGGGTGGGGCCATCCTAGGAGGGTCCCCTGCCAGGCGGGCTCCTCCCGTCCTCTCCCAGAGCCTGGCCCAGCAGGCCAGGTTGGGAGGTGAGCTGTGGTTGACATTTCCAGCCAAGTGGTCCCCTGGGGTCCTGCCAGCCTCCTCAGAGGGTCCTTGATGGCCCCCCACTCCCTGAGCCCCAGTCCCCCCACCACCCCAGAGCCTATGTGTCCCTCTTCATGCGGCACCTGTGTGAGCCGGGGGCGGACGGCGCGGAGACCTTTGCGGATGGCGTGCCCCGGGAGGGCCTCTCCAGGCAGCACGTGCTCACGCGCATCGGGGTCATGTCACTGGTTAGGAAGAAGGTGGGTGAGTAAGCCTCCACAGCGCCCTTCCTGGTGCCTTCCTGGGTTCCTGGCATTGTCCCTGGGGGTCAGCAGCAGAGGGCAAGGCAAGTGCCTGGCCCAGGCCACATGGCTGCCCAGGGTCTGAGCCAGCCCAGAGGAATCCCAGAAGCCTTTCTGGGTGAGGGGCCCAGATGGTGGAGACAAGGATGGTGGGTCCCAGGGTAGAGGACACACAGGGTGATGGGGTGCAGGGGGCGCTGGCCGGGGAGTTTGTGCTCAGGAGTGTGTCTGCCTCGGTGGAGGCAGCACTCACCTGAGCCTGTGACAGTCCAGTCCTGTGACTGCCCCTGGGCTTTTGGGCTGAGCTTCGACCACCACCCTCCCTGCTTCTCCCCCATGGCCCCAGGTTCAGGAGTTTGAGCACGTCAATGGGAAGTATAGCACGCCGGACTTGGTCCCCGAGGGACCTGAGGGCAAGAAGCCTGGAGAGGTCATCTCCTCGGACCCCAACACGCCGGTGCCTGCCAGCCCTGCTCATCTCCCACCAGCCCCACTGGGCTTGCCAGGTCTGAGTCTGGGCGAGCAGGGGCGGCATCTGGGTCACAGGAAGTGGCAAGACCACAGTAGCCTTGAGTCCTGTGCGCAGTCCATGAAGGACGTACCTGGAGAAGTATCTCTACGAGTGTGTGGGGTTCTTCTTTTTCTCTTGTTTTTGTGCAGTAGTGGGATTGAACCCGGGGGCACTCTTTCCATTGGGCTACACCCCAGCCCTGTTCACTTTTTGAGACACGGTAGCTGGGATGACGGGCCTGAGGCACCACGTCCAGCCGAGGGTTTTTCTTATTAGATCTAATCTGCCCGCGTACCACACGGCGCCCTCTGAAGCATGCTGGCCGGTGGCTCTGCTGTACTTGCAGGGTCCTGCAGTGGTCACTGCTTCCATTGCCAGAACACTCTCATCCACCCAAAAGAAGCCCGTACTCACCAGCAGTCCCTGCCGGTCTCCCCTCCCCAGCCCTGGGCACCTGCTGGTGTGCTTCTGTCTGGATTTGCCTGTTCTGGACCTCTCAGATGAACCGGTCTCACACTCTGTGGCCTTTGCTGGCTGTCTCCTCTCAGGGAGCATTGCATTCCAAGGGTTGTCCACACCGCGGCACGGATGGTTCTCCAGTCCTCCTGGGGCCCAGTGGCATTCTCTGTAGGGATCCACCACCCCGTGTCCGTTCATCCGTTGATGGGCAGCTGGGTGACTTCCGCGTCCTGGCTGGCGTGGATGATGCGAGCGTTTGCACCCGTGTCTTTGTGTGGACACAGGCTCTCATTTCTCTCCGTTCTCTTTTCGTTCACTCTTGGGCAGACACCTGGGAGTGGGTTGCTGGGTCATATGGGAGCTGCCAGCCTGCTTTCCGGAGTGGCCACACCATTTTATTCCTGCCGGTGATGTGTGAGGGTTCCCATTTCTCCGTGTTCTCACCAAACTCAGGAAACTGGTTGTCCGACAGGATTCCAGCTCCCTGGTGGTGAAGTGCCGGCTCATGGTGGTTTGATTTGCATTTTCCTGGTGGCTGAGCGAGTTGAGCATCTTTTCACGTGCTTATTGGCTATTTTTTGTGTCTATTTTGAAGAAATGTCTTTTCAAGCTGAACTCAGTGGTGCACCCCTGTAGTCCCTCAGGAGGCTGAGGCAGGAGGATCGAAAGTTGAAGACCAGCCCCAGCAACTTAGCAAGACCCTGCCTCAAAATAAAAACTGAAAAGGACTGGGATGTAGCTCAGTGGTAAAGTGCCTCTGGGTTCAATCCCTAATACCAGGAAAAAAAGTATTTTCAGAAAAAAAAAGTATTTTCAGATTCTTTACCCATTTTTAATTGGGCTGTTTGTCTCCAGATGTCCTTTTGGTGATCCGTGTGCTTATTCAGGCAAAGTGCCTTCCTCAGTTGGGCCTGACAGGCCTGGGGCAGACACCTGTCCCCAGGCTCCTGGACGCAGGCATGCTCTTAGGAGGTGGATGTGTTGGAGCTGGCCTCTGGCTCTGCCCTGAACTCCGTGTGACTTAGGGCAGGTCACCCACCCTGAGCCTCAGTTTCCCGTGTGTAACGGGGATGAGACGGTACCCCTCCCTCCTGGAGCCCCTAGTTGTGTGGGGACCTGACAGTGGGGAGGGGACTCACTTGTCTAACGGCACACAGACAGGGTGGACCAAACCCAGGCTTCCTGGCTCCTGGCTGGGATGTTGGACAGTCACCATGTGAACCAGCACCTCACGCCTAGTGGTGTACCCAAGAGGGATCAAAACCTGCTTCCACCCTCCTCACCCGCCTCCTACCGGGGGCAGCCACTGCTATCTGCAGCCCTGTCCCGACAGCCCCTGACTTTGGCCTCATTGGGCCCAACGTCCTACGTGGGTCTCTGACTAGAGGCCAGGCCTGTGCTCTCTGGTGTACCTGGGAATCCTGCCCACTTCTCCTAAAAGTTCTGGTCCTCGTGGAGCCTCCTGAGGACCAGGCCCCGTCTGTCTGGCCTGCAGTCCCACTCCCTACCCTTCTACTTTTCATCTGAGCCCCTCTGTCTGTCTCGGATCTTTTCTATGTTTTTTTTTTTTTTTTAAACTGGGGATTGAGCCCAGGGGTGCTTTGCTGCTGAGCTACATCCTCAGCCCTTTTTATTTTTTGGGGGTGGGGGCTCACTAGGTTCCTGGGGTTGGTCTGGAACTTACGATCGTCCCGCCTCAGCCTCCAGAGTCGCTGGGATTGCAGGTGTGTGCCACCGCGCCTGCTCACTGCTTCCCTGTAATCTTTCAGACAAAATGGAAACACAGCTGGGCTTCGTGGATGAGAAGGAGCCAATGGTGCAGAAGCCAAAGAAGCCCTTGGATGTCCAGGTACACAGGCTGCTGGTGTCTGGGCCTGAAGCAGGCTTTGGGTGAGGTGGGGGCTAGGGACCCTCTCGGGCCTTGCCCAGCCACGAGGACCCAGGCACCCTTGCTCCCAGTTTGAGGCCTCTGGATGGGAGGGGAGCAGGCTGGAGCACGTGACGGGAGGCAGGATCGTGGGCCCCGCCCTCCTTTCCCGCTGAGGCCCCCAGCCTGTCCTCTCCAGGCCCTGCCAACTGCCCTGGACAGAGTGGAGGGTGAGGACAAGCACGAGAGCTCAGACAACAAGGAGAGAGCCCGAGAGGAGCGGCCAGAGGAGGTGGAGAAGGCCCAGCCCTCCCCGGAGCAGCTGCCCAAAGGTAGGGCCTTCCAGGTGCCCTCCCAGCGGTCGGTGTGGTCTCTGGCCTCAGCAGGGCAGGCCGCTGGGTGGACCGTGCTGCTCTCCCTTTCTCTCTGCTGAGGGTAGACCTGGCAGGCTGCATGAGGGCAGGGCAGGGCAGGGGCTCAGGTCTCTGCACGTGGACTCTCACCTTTCCTGCCATACAGGGGCGTGAGGATTGGTGACTTCTAACTTGGGTGCATTCTGGTTTGGAAACATGAGTCTGTGGATACTGTTGAAACCTGCCTTCTGGCTTTACGGGTCAACCTTTGGTGAATGTTTTGTGTGTGCTTGAAAAGAGTGTCCATTTCTAACTGCTGGGGGCAGGTTCTGAGTATGGGCATGAGCATTAGGTAGGGCTTGCTCAGGACCCCACGGGATGTGTCCTTGCTGGGAAGTAGTTGACTGGCTGCTTTCTGAGAGACTCTGTTGACCCTGCCCTGGGATGAGGGGTCCACCTCTGTCCTTGCAGTGCCCGGTTCTGGATTCTGCTTCCCGTGATTTGAGGCTGGGTGTCAGGTGTTCATCTGTTCGGGTGTTTCTTATTTTTCTGGTGACTCGGGCGTCTAATTCTCCTGTAATAGTGATTATCTCTCCTGATCCATTTTGCCTTGAAGTTTATTATGCTGATTCTATTGACCATCTGTTGAATGTACACTATATGCCCTTTTTCTATCTCCATTTAAATAAAAAAAACATTCTGGTTGGGATGTGTGCCGCAGTCCGGCTGCAGCAAACTAGCCGGGGGATGACGAATAACTTGTGTACTTGATACAGCAGGAGTAGGAGCCGTTTATTGCAGGACAGGAGCAGTATTTATACATTCCACACAGCTTATCTAATTAGCATAAACTAGATACATTAGTCAACCAATAAGGAATCTCCACACTTAATGGCTCGCTTTTGTTACTTCTCAAACCACTCCCTCTGGCATTTTGCCAGGCACCATCCAGACTTGTTTATGAACTCTAACATTCCCCTGGCTAAATGCCAGGTGTTATTTTGACTTGTTTACAGACTCTAACAGATGTGATTCACCTGCAGGAGTCCAAGCATTTCAAGTGTACCTCCCGCCCACGGGTCTTGAGGACATTCACAGACTTGTGTGACCATCACGGCTGTCTAATTCCACAACATTTCCATCGCGCTGGAGAGAAGCTGCTTACCCATTCCCAGTCCCTCCCCATTTCTTCCTCTCCCCAATTCCTGGCAATCGCTACTCTATTTTCCGTCTCCGTGGATTCGCCTCCTTGGAATGTTTCATGTAAACAGAACCATAAAACACGCTGGTCTTCTGTGTCTGGCTTCCTTTGTTTAGCACGGTGTTTTTAAAGCTTATCCGTGTCATAGAAGGCTGGTTTCCTTTCTGTAGCCAAGTGATTTCCCATTGACTAGGTTGGTGGGTTTGTTTATCCGTTCATAGCTGATGGATTTGGGGTTGTGCCTACCTTCAGCTATTGTGAAGGATTCTAGTGTGAACATACGTGCCCATGTTTTTGTGTGAATGTGGGTTTTTGTTTCTCTTGGGTGTCCACCTGGGAGGAGCCTTGCTGGATCGTACGGCAGCTGTTTCATATTTTGAGGAACGGTGAATTGTTCTCACACGTGCTGACCAGTTTACATGCCTACCAGCAAGGCGTGAGGGTTGCCCCGTGTGCTAGTCAACACTTGTTCTTATCTGTCTTGATTATAGCTATCCTAGGGGTGAGAATCGGTCTCCTATTGTGGTTCCTGTTTGTACTCCATTTGTGCCTGAAGATGTACTTTTTCAGGTGCTTATGGCCCATGGGTATATATGTTTGAGAAATGTCTTTTCAGATTCTTTGCCCATTCTAAGATTTTGTGGTTTGTCTTCTTATTGTTGACTTATAAGGGTTCTCCCCCCTCCCAGGTGCTCTACCATTGTGTTTTAGGCATCTCTTACAAACCCTGTAGAGGACTCTCTAGTTTAAATCTCTGTCTTTTGGCAGGGAAGTTTGATCTCTTTACATTTATTGTAGGAATTAGATAGTTGGATGAATTTGTATCTTGTTTTTATATGACTCTTGCCTTTTTTTTCCTCCCCTCTTGCCATCTCTTGAAATGATCACATTTTCTTCATAGTTCTCTTTCCTCCCGACTCATTTGGAACGTTTATGGTTGATTCTGTTCTGCAGTGTTGATTTTTACCACACAGCTCTCCTGAATCGCATCGAGACCGTGGACTGTTAGCTGTAGTTCACTTCCCTCCCCTCTGCTCTGTTGCTCTTGCCCTGAATTTTAGTTTCAGTTTGCTTTGACGTCCCCATGTTGGCTGATGTCCCTCTGACCCTCTGATCCTTGTTTAGGTCTTCACAGTCTCTTTGCTTTTGTGTGTGCTCACCTGTCCTGCACTGCTTCACTAAAGTCCCCTTTCTAACACACCCTTTAATGGTGCTTCCTACAAATTCCTGTGGATTGTTTCCCTTTCCGCTTGAATGATGGTAAGGCTGAGGTGGGCCGGGGATTTCCCCTTAGCCCTTTGAAGATATCTCCTTTTTATTCTGGCTTTCATTGTGCTGCTGGGGAGGACGCTACCAGTGAATTGTGGATCCTTTGGAGGACATCTGTCTTTACTCTTATTTTCTACCGTTAAAAGACTTTTTGTGTGTGTGTGGTGCTGGGGGTTGAACCCAGGGCCTTGTGCGTGCTAGGCAAGCACTGTACCACTGAGCCACATCCCCAGCCTCAAAAGGCTGCTTTTAAGATTTTCTCTGTCTTTGGCGATGTGTGGTTTCAATACAGTGAAATTCCTGCCCTGCTTGAGATTCCCTGATTCTCAAAGCAAAGCTTGTAGGTCCTAGATCAAGTGTGGGAAACTCCCGGTCATTCCCTCTTTGCAAACTGTCTGCTCCATCACAGTTCTTTCCGCCTGGAATTCCTATAACTCGTGGATCCATTCACTTTCCAACAAGATGTAGAGCGAGCTGACTGTCAGTCACTGTTCCAGGTGCTGGGACACAACCCGTGAACCAGAACCGCTCCTGGCTCATCTCTTGCCATTTGTGCCCTGCTGTGAGACGTGGGCAACACCAATAAGTAGAAGAGACTTTGGATGCTCTGAAGAAAGCAGGGGACCAGGACGGGCAGCGGCAGGGGTGCGAGCAGCCCTTCACATCTTGCTGCCTTCTTGCCTTTCTCTGCACCGTTTCTGGGTCCTCCTCCGACCCAGCTTCGGGTATCCTGGCTTGACCTGGCTGTGTCTCCGGCTTCCCATTTGCTCCGCTCTGTGGCCGCGTAGCGCATGACTGCACACCCGAGGGCTCAGAACAGTGCGTGTGTTAGCTCCCAGCTCTCGGGTCAGAAGTCAGGCGAGGGCGCGGCCAAGTCCTCTTCTGGAGGTCTTGGAGATGGAGATCTGTCGATTTCCCTTCCCTTTAACCATTCCAGACACTGTTTTGGCTGGGCCAGGTTCCCCCCTGAAGGTTCTGGGGAGAAAGCACTTCCAAACTCATTCTTGTTTACTGACGTTGGTCTCTTGAGGTTGGAGGACTTGGAGGACTGAGGTCCCATTTCCTTGCTGGCACCACCTGGGGGCCACATGCGGCCAGCAGCCACCTGCGTTTCTTGATGTGTCAAGCCAGCTCCACCCTCAAGGCAGCAAGGGGCCACAGGGCCTCTCCTGCATTGGGCCTCTGCCTGCCTTTTCTGTGGCCGGCCTGAGAGGGCTCCCTGCTTTTAAAGAGCTTTGTGATGGGGTCAGGCCCACTCAGGTAACCCCCTGTTTTAAGGTCACTGTGCCACGTGGCATACCCTACTTATGGGAGTGGAATCCATCATATTCCATCCTGGGGACTTTGAGGGCATCTTAGAATTCTGTTCCCAATTGTGAATTTCATCTCTACAAGTTGTCTGGCTTTTCCAGTTTGTTTTGTTTGTTTTTGGTACAGGGAATTGAATCTGGGGTACTCGACCACTGAGCCACATCCCTAACCCTTTTTATTTTTTATTTTGAGACTGGGTCTTGCTTAGTTGTTTAGGGCCTCACTAAGTTGCTGAGGCTGGCCTTGATCTTGCAATCTTCCTGCCTCAGCCTCCTGAGTCTCTGGATTATAGGTGTACGCCACTACCCCTGGCTCCCTGATTGTTCTTTTTTTTCTTTTTTTTTGGTGCTGGGGATTGAACCCAGGGGCACTTTATCATTGAGTCACATCCTTGGCCCTTTTTAATATTTTATTTAGAGAAGGGTCTTCCTGAGTTGCTTAGGGCCTCACTAAGTTGCTGAAGCCGGCTTTGAACTTGGGATCCTCCTGCCTCAGTCTCCTTAGCTGCAGGGATTACAGGCGTGCTGCACTACACCTGGCTCCCAACTTGTTTTTGGTCTTATTCTTCCCCGGTGGGCTCTGTTCTTTCTGTCGATTTCCCTTCCCTTTAACCGTTCCAGACACTCTGGCTTTAGTGCCTGTCTCCTGGTTTTATCACCTCCTGGTGACACGGCTGCTCACTGACTCCCTGCTGGGTTGCCTAGGTGGATGGATGGTGGTTTTCCAGGTTCTGGATGTCACCTGGACAGTGTCATGTCCCTCCCCCTTTATTTCCAAGTGCTTGGGGCCCAGTGGTCCCACTAGTAGATTTGCTGGTCTGGGACCAGTTTCTATGATGCTGTCTTTGCTGGGACTCGACGGTTATGGCCCTGCAGCCTGGGGGTCCTAGACTTTGGGTTTGGGCTCCTCAGGAGGACCTTCTTCCCCTGGGGCTCTGCTGGAGATGGGCTTCTGGTTGTGCCTGTCGGATGGGACGTCCACTCACAGAACAGACTGGTCGGAGGGCGCTGGCTTAGCTCCAGTGCTCTGCGTCCTTTGGGCTGACCCATCTGTCCTGCTGAGGTGTTGAGACCCAGTCCCAGCACCCCCATTCCTGGTGGTTAATGACCCCCTGCTGGGGCCACCAAATGCCAGCTCATGTATCCCTGGCTTTAATTTCTTCTTTATTTCTGGCTCCTGATGACTTTCTTTTCTTTTACTGAACTCACTTTTTTTTTTTTTTATTTGAGGAGTCAGGGTCTTGCTGTATTGTCCAGACTGGCCTTGAATTCCTGGGCTCAGTGAGCCTCCCTGGGACCACCCCACTCGGATCTCCTGTGTTGATTGCTTTTTTAGTGATGTGATTTTGTGTGTGTGTGTGTGTGTGTGTGTGCGTGTGTATCATCTGTTTGTGGTGCTGGGGGTCTGAGCCCTGGCCCTGCAAACGCTAGGCAAGCCCTCTGCTGCTAAGCTGTCCCCAGCCCCATTAATACAATCTATTCTGCCTGGCACTTGTGGATGTTTTAAGAGGAGTTCCACAGAACTGTGGCCTGCCCAGTGGCTGGACTTCACATCCTTTGGTTTTTAGTGCAAGAAGGTGATTCCAGACTATGGTTTGCAGATGGGGACAGGGCAAGCCTCTGGAGTGGGTGTCCAGGCCTGGACTTCCAGAGCTCATGGATATGGACTTCAGGTAGATGCATGGGGTTCTTTGACCTTCTGAGCCTCCACCTGTGAACCCTCTTTATCTTGCAGAGGAAGTGCCTCCTGAGAAGGAGAGAGCGCTGGACAAGCTGGAGCTAGGCTTGAGTCACAGCAGAGGGGACGGCAGCGACTGCAGGCCAGGTTTGGGGCTTTTCTGCCTTCTGCCTTGTGTCCTTTGGGCCCTGATGGTCCTCCTGGGCCCTGGTCAATCATCTTATTGGAGCTGGGCATGGGAGCCTGGACTCATCAGTCCCTGGTAGCACAGTGGTCTGCTCCCTGGAAATGGACTCCCTGCTCTCTCCTGGCCCTTCCATGGCCCCTAGGGAGGGAGAGACCTGGTCACAGATCTTGGTTTGGAGGATTTTGGGGTTCAGCTTTGCATATGATAGGTGCTGTAAATCCTAGAACATTGTTCCTCTGGACCCCTGCTTGCCTTTGGGCCCTGGCCAGTGCCTTGGATGGAGAGTTAACATGATCTCAAGATCTTTTTTTTTTTTTTTTTTTTAATATTTGTTTTAGTTGTAGGTGGACACAATAACCTTAATTTAATTTTTATGTGATTCTGAGGATCGAACAGTGTCTCAAGTGTGCTGGGCAAGTGCTCTGCCCCTGAGCCACAACCTCAGCCCAGTTAATGAGATCTTTCCACTCACAGATGACCCCAAAGCTGAGGAGAAGGAGCCCGCTGAGACACAGCAAAACGGTGACAGAGAGGAGGACGATGAGGGGAAGAAGGAAGAGAAGAACGGGAAGTTCAAATTCATGTTCAACATTGCCGACGGGGGCTTCACGGGTATGGAGGGGCAGAGAGCTGGGGCTGTTGCTGTCCCTGACCGTGGGCCCCAGGAGCTGGGCAGGTGTTACTTTATGCTAGAGTGTGAGTGGTTGAGGAAAGTCTGTCTCATGTCCTGTCCTAGTACATCGGAGCCTTGAACTCTGGGGTGGTGTGAAGGGCCAGTGTTGGGGGAGCGCTTCCAGCCCACCGCTGAGACAGCAGAGTGGGGGCTCCTCTCATTCTGTTTGTTGGCGGTTTTCCCAGAGCTGCATACATTGTGGCAGAATGAGGAACGTGCCGCCGTGTCCTCGGGAAAGATCTATGACATCTGGCACCGGCGCCATGACTACTGGCTGCTGGCGGGCATCGTGACGTATCCTTGGGCAGACCAGGCCGGGCGGGTGCTGGCCCCTGGCTCTGGGAACCTCAGCAGGAGCCCTCTGAAGGCTCTGTGGGGACCCTGTAGCGCCTTCTCCTAGCTTCCAGAGATGCCCTGGCACTCACACGCGGGCTCTGTGGTCTGGTCCAGACTTCCCTCCTCTTACCTGGACATGGTCTACGTGGCCTCTTCTCCATCACGCCTCTGAGACTGCTTCCAGCACAGGCCCTGGGTGTTGGCACTTGGGCCTACCCACCCTGGTTATTGGGGTGGAGGAAGTGGCCATGATGGGGTCCCTGTGCCATGTCTGGCACACTGAGGACACCTGTCACTGCCTGAAGAGATTGTCCCCATTGCCCCCCCATCAACATGCTCCTCTTTAGCTGAGACTATGACATGCCTGAGGGCAAGAGCTGGGTGCCAAGCCTCAGGCTGTTCCCTCCACCCCAGCTGCCAGCCCCACCCCTCCCTGTGGCCAGCTTTGTCCTTAACGGTGCCTGCAGGCATGGCTATGCCCGCTGGCAGGACATCCAGAATGACCCGAGGTACATGATCCTCAATGAGCCCTTCAAGTCTGAGATCCACAAGGGCAACTACCTGGAGATGAAGAACAAGTTCCTGGCCCGCAGGTTCAAGGTCAGTCCTCGGCAGGGCCAGAAGTGGGGGGGGCATGGAGAGGGGCCTGAGGCGAAGGCCTAGGTGGAGGACGTCTTCCTCCTTCCTGCCTGGGCCTGGCTGGGCGCTGGTGGAGGAGGAGCGTGGCCGTCCAGGAGGAGGGGCCAGCCAACCTCTCACCCCCCAGCTGCTGGAGCAGGCGCTGGTCATCGAGGAGCAGCTCCGGAGGGCCGCGTACCTCAACATGACCCAGGACCCCAACCACCCAGCCATGGCCCTCAACGCCCGCCTGGCCGAGGTGGAGTGCCTTGCCGAGAGCCACCAGCACCTGTCCAAGGAGTCCCTTGCCGGGAACAAGCCTGCCAATGCTGTCCTGCACAAGGGTGAGCCGTCCTGGGCAAGGGCACCCTGGGCAGCCCCTCACTGAGGGGAAACTGAGCCTCCTTTCTTGGACCTGTGAGCAGGCCCTGGGCTGGGTAGGTGACAGGCCACAGGATTTAAAGCCTCATGGTTATGGAGCCTGATATGCACCTCCCTTCGGTTCTCACGAACCCAGGGAGGTGAAGCCGCGTGTCCTCTGAGTGCTAGTGAGCCTGGCCCTGTGAGCCCTGCATCCTGTCCCTGGTGTTGGACCAGGGCTGTGGCCTCCTGGGGAGGCTCTTTGTGGAGGGAAACCCCGTGTTTCTGCTTTGCCTCTGCCAGAGCAGGGGCCCCTGGAGTTTTTTGGAAAGCCCACTGATCCCCCAGTTGGCCAAAGGGCTTCCTGTGCCTGGCGAGGGCGCCCCCTGGTGTCCGATGCTGGGGTGCCGTAACACACCCTTGTAAATGAGGGCTGGCCTGGCTGCTGCGTGGGCGGCACCAGCCAGCAAGCCCCTCCATTCCTGGGCCCTCCTGCCCTGCAGTCCTGAACCAGCTGGAGGAGCTGCTGAGTGACATGAAGGCAGATGTGACGCGCCTGCCCTCCATGTTGTCACGCATCCCCCCGGTGGCTGCCCGCTTGCAGATGTCAGAGCGCAGCATCTTGAGCCGCCTGACCAACCGTGCCGGGGACCCCACCATCCAGCAGGTCAGGTTCAGACTGCATGCCGTGGGGCCAGCCCCTCGGGCGCCCGGTGCCCCAGCTGGGGCTGGGTGGGTGCTGAGCGGCACCTGTAAAGCTGAATCCTTGCCTCCAGGGCGCTTTTGGCTCCTCCCAGATGTACAACAACAACTTTGGGCCCAACTTCCGGGGCCCTGGACCGGGAGGGATTGTCAACTACAACCAGATGCCCCTAGGGCCCTATGTGACCGGTAGGTGCCCCTCCGCTTCCGGGCAGCATGCACACGGTGCCCTGCCAGGGCCCAGCCTGCTGCCTGCTGTGGATGCCCAGCAAGCCGCCGTGTTCTCTCTCTTTGGCAGATATCTAGCCGTCCCTGTGACTTCCCCCTGTTGCAGCGCTCATTTCCAGCTGAGGTGAGGTCCCTCCTGGCTGCTCCCCTGTCCTGCGCCCACCCGGCCAGCTTGGCAAGTCAGGCCTGGCTAGAACTAGCCCGTCCATGTGCTTGATTCTGGTCCCTAAGCCTCGGGGTCTTCACTGCCTCGGGCTTTGGGAGTCACCCCCTGGCCTGGACCCCTCCACCCAGCCTCCCTTTGCCCTGGGACCACCTTGGGCCAGGCTGTCTGCCATGGGAGGCTGGGTGGCAGGACACAGAGGACCCAGGGGACCTGGAGAGACCCTGTGTGTGCACCTCCGTCTTTGTACTTCCATGTACACCTGTGTTCTTGGTGGTGAATTGGGACAGTTGCCCCAGAGCAGTGCCCTGTCCTGCCTTAACTGTCCTGCTCAGTGGGGTACTGCAGGCAGTTATGTCTTGTTTCATACCCTCACTGAAAGCTTGAGGAGTGTTACTGGAATGGAGAGGAGGGCTATCACAGACTAACTGCCAGCTCTTGCCACCTCCTTCACTGGGACCACCAGCTTACCCTGAGTTCTATCCCCATAAGAGCAGACAGGACAGTTTGGTCACTCCACTAGAGACTGAGGAGAGCTGTCCAGCACTCTGGGTACAGCTCACAGCCTGGCCAGTGGCCTGTTCTGGGAGGACTTGGGGTGGGAGCCCCCTCTGACCACAGTTGCATGGTCAGCTGTGGGCTCTGGGGTATCTCTGGCCACCTGGCCACCTAGACACATAACCCACTGACCTGCTTTTTGCAGCCACACTTACCGGGCCACCTGCCTGACCCCCATGGGAGAGAAAAGCTGCTGCCTTTTTAGAACCGGTGCCACCTTGGGACAAAAGGGAAATGGAGAAGTGCCATCATCTCACAGAGAACGAGGCTTAGCCTGGCTGGCCAGAGCCCAGAGTGCCACCTCGTCGTAATTGAGTTCTTCCACACAGCGTCACACCCACTGCCATGCTGGACATGCCCTCTCGCCACCTTTTCCAGACGACTTCCTAGAGAGATTTCATTTATCTGTACATCTTTTGCACTTTCCTATTGAAGATTCGGATGAATTTGTCTTGATAAAAGTTGGATGACGTATGGAAGATTCTGAGCACAGCACTCACGTTTTGTCACCAGGCTCCAGACCTAAGGGGAAGCTCCCTGGAGGCCCTGGCGCCACCCTGCAGGCTCAGCCCAGCTGGGGAGAACTCAGTGTTTCCTGTGCCCCGTCCTGCCTGCCCTCCTGCTGCAGCCCCTGCCCGCCTGGTACCCCCAGAACCAGGTGGGCCAGGTGGGAGAGGGGCCACCTTGCTCTGTCGGAGGAGATGCTGCTGATGCCTGGATCAGACAGGGTTTTCCTGTCTCCTTCCTGCCAGGGATGGAGACCACCAGGTAGAGGCTGTCTTCTGGGGGATACATGTCTGTCCCTGGCCCAGCATGTCCTGAAGGTTGGGCTCTTGCTACCAGCAGAGAGGCCCCAGAAGTGCATGGCAGGCTTCAGCGTGTGCGGCCAGGGAGGAGGGGCACGAGTCTGTTGGAGCCACTGTAGGAAGGGATGGAGGTTTGCCATCTGCTGGGGGTGTGGTTCTGGGCAGGTGAGAGCTTGTGTCCTGGTAAGGAGGGACCTGGTCATTTGATGGCCCAGGAGACCCTGCCTTGTCCTGTGTCCTGCGAGGCCTGTCCACCCACCTTGGGGTATAGACTTTTCTGTTCTGGGCCACAGATGTGGGGGAATCAGGCGGACCCCTGAGGCCTGGACTGTCCCCTTCTCTGTCCCTGGGGGGTCCTCCATCCGGGCTCTTGCTGCATGAGGCAGGGGCCCCAGCTGCCCTTGCTGAGTTCTTGGAGGGTGTGGGAAGGGCTCTGCGGGGAGGCAGGGGACTGGACCAGTGGCCTCTAGACCCTTCTTAGCAGGAGCCTTCCTGCTTCTGCCTCCTCTGTGGGAAGGCCGTGGAGCCCCTGCCCTTCTTCCCCACTGTGCATGTTGGAATCCAGCTCCACCCTTGCTCCTTCCCCGCCCTCAAGACCTCATAATGCCCCGACGCTGGGTGGGGGTCCGTTGAGTGCAGAAGGAAATTCACTGAGGAACTGGCTGGGCTTGGGGGCGAGAGGGGCTGAGACTCCACTCCCTGGGAGAGGCATGAGGGACATGGTGTCTCTGGGCCTGTCGGGGACAGAAGTGAGGCCAGGGGCAGTAGTAAGTCTCAGCCTCATCTCACGGACACTTGGGCAAATGCCTGGCCCTCCCTGAGCTCCAGGTTGCTCATCTGTAACATGGCTTTTTCTCTGAACCCCTGGACCAGACCCCAAGGCCCCTGGTTCCAGTCTTGATCCAAGTCTGGCCCAACTCTGAGAGCGGGGTGGGCAGGGGGAGGAGAACCCCGGAGGTGGAGAGGGCTGGATTGTCGCAGGCTTGAGCACCCAGAGTTCCCGGGGTGGCTGCCCCCGCCTCCCAGGAGGGTGGCCCTTGTCCTCACAAGCCCCTGTGGTCATCTAGCACCACCATCCTCTGGTCAGCGCGAGAAGACCTGCCTCGAGCTCACTCCCCAACCCAGGGCCACTGTGATGTCATCCTCAGTGGGTGGGCAGTCGGCCCCTGGGTGGCCTCTGGGACAGCCCCGGCCCCGCCCCAGTGCAGGGTCCTGAGGCCAGGTGATGACCCTCTCCCTTGCCCTCCCAAGGGCTGGTGGTCTCCCTGGTTGTGACTCCGCCCTGGAAACCTTGCTCGGTCCCTCTCTCTGCTTCTTCCCAGGCCTGTCCAGGGGGCCCTCGTCCCCCTTCCCTGCTAGGCTGGAGGTGGCACCCACAGCCAGCCTGGCCCCTGGAAGAGCGTGTTCTCCGTGACCAGCACCCAAGAAACCCGGGAGGGTGGGCTGCCGAAAGTGGGGCAGGTTTCTGAAAGGAAAGGTTTTCCAGAATGTTCTCATCCTGGTTCCTCAGTGACTTCCTGCCAAAGCTGTGGTGGGGAGCGGGGAGCCCGGGGGAGGCCTGCCTTGGCCTCTTCAGGCCGCTTGGATTTGCCCTGGAGATGGCAGCCCTTGAGCCCCAGGGCAGCCTGCCCTCTGTTTTGTCCAGTGTGGGGGTTTGTTGAACTGCCTTTGGCCCAAAGGGCTCAGCAGTCTGCCAGGTGGCACTGGCCTTTGGGTTGGAGTGGCCACTTCTGAGGGCGCCCCTCCCACACACCTGCTCTGTCCCCTGAGGCCAGGCGTGAGGAGCCTCCTGAAGGGCAGCCGGAGGCTCCTGTCTCCTGCAGCTTTGACTCCTCCCAGAGGCAGGCCCGACCCCTTGTCCCACAGCCAGGTCCTCCTGTGGCTGGGCTTCCTTCCCAGAATCCTCTGGCTGCTCTCCACCCAGGCCCAGGGTTGACCAGGACTCGGCCTGCAGGTCCCAGGGCCACTGAGGGCCTGAGGGGTGGGCTTGGGGACCTGTGGCCTCTAGTGTGCATGGGGGCCGGGGAGGGCGAGGCTGACCCACCCCTCTGCCCTCGCTGTCCCGGTGGCCTGGTTGTAGCTTCAGGTGGACGGTGCCCCCGCCCTTCTGCACAGCCTTGGCACCTAGGGGAGCCGCTGCTCCTGCTGGTCCCCGAGTTTACAGGTTGTGGCCGTCAGCCCAAGGCGTGGGGGTTGTTGTGTTTATGGGTTTTTTTCCCCTTAAGTTTCAGATTTTTTTTTTAAACAAAGTATTTTTTTAGGTGCGATACCCAGAAAGGGCCCGTTGGGTGTGTGTGTGTGTGTGTCCCGGCTCCTCGCACGGAGGTTGGCGCCCCCGCCTTGCAGCTCCTGCTGGCTTGGCCTGGAGAGGAGGGAAGGCCCACCTGGGCGGCTGAGGAGGGACTTGCCTGCCCAGGCCCCTGGCCCAGGCACATCCTCAGGCTGGCCAAGGGAGGGCCTGGCACTCTGGGCCAGCTAAGAGGGTCTCTCCTGCTGCGGGGTCCCTAGTGGGGCAGGGGTTGAACCTTGGACACCAAGTTCCCCGGGGGTTGTGGCTCACCGTCTCCTGCAGGAGGCTGGCAGAGACCACAGCCAACACAGTCACCTTTTCTTTGTACTCTGCGTGTATGTTTTGGTTTCTGTGTTTTAATAAACCCTTTGGGAAGGGACTGAGTCAGATTCTCATTTACAAAAGGGCTGGGGAGGGTGGAGTGGGGGACCCTGCTCCAAGCCATGTCCCACCTGAGAAGTCACACTTCTAGGGCTTGGTCGCGCTGGGAGGGATGGGCAGTGAGTAGCCATGTGCTGGGGAGATGCCCTTCTACCTGCACCCCAATCTTGTGGGCTTCCCCAGACCCCGACCCCTCATCATGAGAACCACAGCCAGCCAGTCCCTCAAGCTACGACAGCCTCCCAGCAACCATCCCTGGGCAACAGACCATGTGTGTGTCGGGTGCAGGGGAGGCACCCCAGCCCCACGTCTGACCCTGGCCTTTGCCTCCTGCAAGGTCCTTCACCCCCACCCACCTTTGGCAATAGGGTCAGGTTCGGGAGCCCCAGTCTTTGGGTGTCTGCAGTTGGCAGCCCTGGCCCAGCCCAGACCCTAAGGAAATGAGAACAAGTGGCAGGAGACCCGCAGGCTTGGGTTTATTTGTCATTCCGTAGACAGGCGGCTGGGTCCCGGTCTGTCTGGTTGGGAAGCTCGAGGCAGGCACGGCAGTCTGCCGGTGGGGAACGCGGTAGCTGGGGAACCACGGTCATTAGAAAGGCTGAGGGAGGGCGCGTGATTTACAGACTGGCTGAGAAGAGGGTGGCCGGGTGCCTTCCTCGGGACCCCAGATCTGACCATGTGTTTGGGATGAGCAGTAGTGGGGCTCTGCTGCCCCCAAAGGCTGATCCCCCACCCTGGGCCCTCTCCTATGTCGAGCCCGCCCAGTGGGCCCCTGTTTGGCAAACTGCTTCCAGAAGAGGGTGGGGGCTGCTGGAGGGTGGCCAGGCAGGGCCGGCCGGCAGCTGGGGCCCAGGAGGTAGGCCTGGCACCCAGGGAGAGCTGCTGGTCCTCGACCTGTGCTGGTGCCCCTGAGGCTGGGCAGCTCTCCCCTTCCAGGCTCAGTCTGCCCTTGGCCCTCTGCTCCTTCTCCAGAGGTCCTGCCCAACCCCCTCCAACCTCCTTCCTACTGGGGACCACCCCCAGGAAGCAGAGCCCCGTCCTCCCTGCAAGTGGACGCCTGAGGAAAAGATGCTTCAGAGCCATGTTGTTGGAAGTGCCACCCGGGGCTGCCTGGGCTCTGGACAGGGTGTGCACGTGTGGCCCAGGGCCTTGCCTCCCTTGCCTTGGTAACACGGCCAGCGGGCACCGCTTTCCCTGCAGCAGCCCTGCCGCGGACCCCACTGCACACTGCAGACCACCTCCCAACAGGGGCTCCCTGCCAGTGAGGTGGGCCACCTGGCCCTCAGTACCACCCTCTGCCCACTGCAGGACCCTGTCCTTGGAGCAGCACGGAGGGGAGTGGCCTCAGCCCAGTGGCCTCCGCTGGAAAAGGACAGCACCCTCTCGGGAACCCACAGGCTGCTTCTGGTGCAGCAGGTCTTGGTGGAGGAGCCCCCAGGGCCTGTCTCTGGGCAGGGTGAGGGCTGTAGCCTACAGGGCCATCAGGAAGGCGGGTGGGGAATGGAGGGCACGTGTGCCTGGCCTCCCCTCTCCCCTGCCCGCCTCCTCCCCCCTCCTTTGTGGTCTTCCTACAGCTGTTCCCAGGCCTTCACTCAGCCAGGCCTGGACAGCAGGCCTTTGGAGTGGCAGGGAGGAGCCTTCCCAGAATAACAGCCCTGCGGAAGGGCAGAGCAGGAACAGATGCGCCTGCGCTGGGGGTGCGGGCCAGCCACCGCCTGCCCGGGGCCTCGTGGAGCCCGCTGGCTAGACAGGGCGGGGGCAGGTTTCATAGAGCCCCACTCCCACAGAGCCAGCAAAGGCTAGGTGCCACTAGGGCCGTGGGACCCGAGGACTGGGCCCCTCGAGCCTGTGGGCTTCCTGGCCATCCCTCCAGCCTCCCCCTGTGAAGGGGCTGACGCTCCGCCTGTCCCCCTCCCTTCCCCCAGCCTGTCCTGGACCTGGGTGGGGATGCGTCTCTCCAGGGAGAGGTTCCCTGGGGTCTTTCCTATATTGTGGGGACTGTTGCTGAGGCACAGCCCTTGGTCCTTGGGCCTGCAGCATGGAACCCTAGAGGCTCTCCCTCACTGAGCCGAAGCGTGTTCTCTGGGCAGAACCCAGGGCCACTGCTCCGCCAAAGGACAGAGAAGGGTCTTGGGCCTAAGGAATCAGCCTTGGGCATATGGCCCCTGCCTACTGTCGCCTACCCCCAGGTGGTCAGCAGCCACGGTGTGACTAACTGTGCTTCACAGGGCCTTCTGTGGCATGGACAGGGCCCATTCCACTGGGACCCTTCCCGTGTGCTCTGGGCCTCTGTGGCATGGGGCCCATCTATTGTGGGCAGAGTTGGAGACGGTGGGACAATTATCTAAAAGTCAGACCCACAAACTTTTATGGGTCCCAAACCACAGAGCCAATCTCCCCGGGGTCCCTGCCCCTGCCAGCAAGGGTGGGGTGGGGGCCAAGGGCTAGCTGGGTGGGCATGGCCCGGGCAGGGTGGGGTCGAGAGGGGTGGTGGAAGGGATCTGAGGTTGGGCCCAGCACAAAATACCTGGAGCCCGTGGAAAGGCAGGCTGACGAAGCCTCCAGTAGGGAGCCCGACCCCAGCTACCAGGGCCTTGGCAGAGGGGGCTCCAGGAAGTGCTGGACTCCTTCCCGGGGGGAGGGGTTCTTGGTAGAGGAGAGGCCAACTCTGCCTGCCCCGAGGACCCAACCAAGTCTCTGCCTGGCTGTGACTTTGGGAACTGTCACGAAGGGTCACGGCTGGGAGAAGCTTGGTTTCCTCTCCAAGGATGAGCCGAGGCGACAGGCTTGGGTGGGACTGCTTGAAGGTCCTTCCTAACCAATGCCATCTCCCTGGCTCACGCTGGACATGGTCTGGGGAAGCAGCGGGTGGCATCTGGCAGCGACTGGAGATCATTTCCCGATGACGTCTGGGCGTGGTGTTTTCTCTTGGATATAAACCCCACGCTGTACTTGGCGTCAAAACAGCATAAGCGAGCGAACAGACAGGAGGGAACCGGAAACTGTCCGAGCAGGTGGTGGGCAGCTTAGGATCTGTAGTCCTTTTTGCTGTAGGGTTTATTGCCCAAAATGCTATCGATCTCGTGGATAATGGACGATGACAGTTTTGGAAGGACCTGCGTGCAGGGACAAGAACTAGTCAGAACTCCACGAACGAGTTTGGCTGGGCCTGTGGAGGAGGCAGGCGACCCTTCCATGTTCCACGGACTGGCAGGTGGTGGTGGTAGCAGGGTAGAGGCCCCAAGTGCCTGCCTTCTGTGCCCCCTAACTGCTCTCCCAGCTGCCCCTGCCTTAGGTGACAGCAATACAGGACTGACTCTGCTCTCCCGCCCCATATCCAGTTTCTCAGCCAATCGCACCCAGGCTCCAACCACAGCTCCCACACCTGACCTCAGAGACTGCTGCTACCTCCCACCAGCAATCTCAGCCTTGGCCTTGACCTTGAAGTGCCCCCCATGAGCTGCCAGAAAGCAAGACCCTTTCAACAGCTCATTGGAGCATGCCAGGCTCTGTTCCCAGCTCAGCCCAGTCCTTAGAGGCATGTAACGCCCTGGGGACCTCAGCTCTGCCTGGTGCCTCCTCAACCGGCCAGGACTGCTCCTCCCCCGGAAGCTTCTATGCATGAGTCTCTGGCATTTCTTCAAGACTTGCCCCAAAGCCCCTTTCTCCACTAGCCCAGCTGACCCCCGAAGCCTGGCACTGTGGCTCTCCTGCCCTAAGGCGCTGGTCACCTCTGGCATTTGTCACTGACTTCTTGCATTTAGTGTTCGTATCTGCTCCTGTTATCAGGATGCAGTTCAGAGCAGGCTCACGCCAGATGCAGCCCCTGCACTTTTCCGGGCACTGCAGGTGCTGAGTGGCCCTGTGCTTGGGTGAAGGGCTCGCTGGGCCCCGAGCTCCACCTCAGCCCCCACTCACCTGTATTGCTCCAATGTTCTCCATGAGCTGTTCCGCGTTGGAAGCACCGAGAAGCACAGAGCTGACCCCCTCGTTCCTCAGGCACCAGGCTGGGGGAGCAAGACAGGAGGTGAGGGAGGCAGGTCTTCCCACTGTGGCCTCTGGCTCTGCCTTGCCTCTGACTGGGCCAGAGAGACCCTGCTTTTTGGTCTGGGGGCTGAGGGTGCCAGGAAGCTCAGCAGTGCCAAAGGGGACTCTGCCCAAAGCCCCGTGGAGAAGGTGCTGGAGAGCTCTGGCCCCACTGCCCCTGTGGAAATAAGGCCCAAGGGATCAGGGACCCCCTTGTTCCCCGTGCCACATGGCTGGTGGATGGAGGGGGTGGCCCAGGCTCTCAAGGACCCATGCCCTCTCTCCAGGGACATGGATCCTAACCCTGTCCCTTGCAGCCCTGGCCATGTCACACAGGAGTTCCTCACCTCCTCCCAGGGACACTGGCCCACTGGGTTCTGAGCCCCATTACCTATGGCCAGCTGTGGGACCCCACAGTCTAGGCGCTCAGGGACCCCGTCATAGCCCAGGGGCCTGAGTCCCATCCCTGTCCCAGGTCCCTGTTACCTATGGCCAGCTGTGGGACCCCACAGTCTAGGCGCTCAGGGACCCCGTCATAGCCCAGAGGCCTGAGTCCCATCCCTGTCCCAGGTCCCTGTTACCTATGGCCAGCTGTGGGACCCCACAGTCTAGGCGCTCAGGGACCCCGTCATAGCCCAGGGGCCTGAGTCCCATCCCTGTCCCAGGTCCCTGTTACCTATGGCCAGCTGTGGGACCCCACAGTCTAGGCGCTCAGGGACCCCGTCATAGCCCAGAGGCCTGAGTCCCATCCCTGTCCCAGGTCCCTGTTACCTATGGCCAGCTGTGGGACCCCACAGTCTAGGCGCTCAGGGACCCCGTCATAGCCCAGGGGCCTGAGTCCCATCCCTGTCCCAGGTCCCTGTTACCTATGGCCAGCTGTGGGACCCCACAGTCTAGGCGCTCAGGGACCCCGTCATAGCCCAGAGGCCTGAGTCCCATCCCTGTCCCAGGTCCCTGTTACCTATG